AATTTATTAATTATATAATTAAAATCAATTAAAATTAAATTCAATCGACTATAGGAGAATATAAGTAAATTATAATTATTATTTTCACGTGCAAAGAAAGTGTGATTGTCAACTACGAGAATTGTGCTTTTTATCACAATTGTAAATATATATTTGTCAAACAACCGACTTGCGATACTACCACCTACGCTTTAGATATATATATATATACTATAGGAAAACTTTATCAAAACTCAATTCAATCGAGTTTAAAATTTTACATAATAAAATTACACATAATTATAATAATTTGTACTTCCAGTGATTAAAAATCAAAACACGCGTTTTCGTCATTTTTAAATAATTATTCATAATGTAAATTTTTTTGAAAAATTGAGAGAAATAATTTTTTTTTTAGTAAATATTTGAGATAAAATGCAACTAGAAATAATACAGGCCTCGGATCGACTTTATGGCACAAAAAAGTCGTTTTAGTCGATTTATATTCGCAAAAAAGTCGAAAAAGTCAATTTTTTTTTATATTTACAAAATTTAATTGGTTAATGAATATTTTACTTTAAATAACTAATGTTATTAGATATTAAATTCATTTTATTAATTCACTAATGAAAATAATTCTACAAAAATATTATCAAGAAAATTTATTTCGAATATTTCAGAATCGAACTAATTGTAAGACAAATTTTCAAAATTTTATTTAAGTAGGACAAAATTTCTAAAAAAAAAAATTCTTAAAGTTCCATTTTTATAATTTTATCAAGTCTGATTTATTAATTTATTCGAATTAAAATTTTGTCATAGTTTTTAGTTTTGATGGTCAAAAAAATTTCAAGCAATATTTAATCAAATTTTACAGATTTTTAAATAAAAAATTGTTTTTAAATAATAATTTTGGAAAAGTTAAAGTTGAAATTTCTAGAAATAATTGAATTTCAAAAGATTTTGTTAATATTCAGATAATAATTAAATTTTACAGTTTTAAATATAATTTAGCAAATAATTTTAGATAACATTTTTTAAAAGTAATTGAATTTTCAATGATTTGCAATTTTGATTTTTGAAATTAATTGAACTTCAAGTGATTTTTAATTAAATTTTTTTGATGATTTCTGTCACTAAAAAATTTATTAGAAATTGCAGACAAAAATACAATAATTTGAAAACTTTTTAAGTGAAAAATGGTTTCAGATATAGTTAAATTTTCGAAGAATATTATAAAAATAATTAAAAATAATTGAATTTTAGGAGAGTTATAATTGAATTTATTAAATTTCAAAAAATTTTAGATGGAAAATTTTAGAAGCTTTCAAATTGAATTTTTTGAAAATAATTGAATTTCAATTGATATTGAATTGAAATTTTAGACAACAATTAAATTTTAGTTGATTTTGAATTGAAATTTTTTAATACAATAGAATTTTAATTGAAATTTTGGAAAATAATTGAATTTTAGTTGAAATTTTTTTTAAAAAAATGGAATTTTAGTTTATTTTAAATTGAAAATATTGAAAATAATTTAATTTCAATTGAAATTTGGAAAATAATTGAATTTTAGTTGATTTTAAATTTAAAATTTCGAAAATAATTGAATTTCTATTGAAATTTTTATAAATAATTAAAGAATTTATTACAAATTGCAGACAAAAATACAATAATTTGAAAACATTTGAAGTTAAAAATGGTTTCAGATAGTTGAATTTTTGAAGAATATTATTAAAAAAATTAAAAATAATTGAATTTCAGGAGAGTTATTATTGAAATTATTAAATTTCAAAAAATTTTAGATGGAAAATTTTTAGAAATAATTAAATTTTAGAAGCTTTTAAATTGAAATTTTTGAAAATAATTGAATTTCAAAATATTGTGTTAAATTTCAGACAATAATTTATAATAAGAGAAATTTTGAATGATTTCTGTTGATGAAGAATTTATTAGAAATCACATAAAAAAATTGAATTCCAAAAGTTTTTAATTGAATAATGTTTTCAGATAATTGAATTTTCGAAGAATATTATAAAAATCATTAAAAATAATTGAAATTTATGGAAATAATTAAATTTCAAGTGAATTTGAATTAAACTATTTTGGTAATTTTATTTGCTAATTTTTTTTTTAAATTATATAAACAATTATTAAATTTCATAAAAATTTTAATTGAAAAATAATTTAAGATAATTGAATTTGTGAAGAATTTAATTACAATTATTAAAAATAATTAATTTAGTGAAGAATTTCAGTTAAAAATTTGTTAAATAATTAAAATTTAAAATTTTTTTTTAAAAAATGTAAAAAAAAAGTCGCATTTTATTCAAATAAGTCGAAAAAAGTCGTATAATCCGAGGCCTGAATAATATAATAATAAAAATATATTTATTTAATATAATTATTTAAATATTTTCAATTAATATAATTATTTAAATATTTTCAATTAATATTTCAATTAATAAAATCCGAATTCAAAAAAATTCAACTTTGTATTTTTCTTTTTCTCAACAAAAATAAAAAATATAAGAAAGAAATTATTTCATTGAATATTTAAATTTGAATTAAATTTTATATTAAATTTGAAAAAAGTAAACTATGTTGTAATCGATGTAAACGTAATTTAAACAACATTAGTGTGTCAATCTATATTACATTATAAAAGAAATTGGAAATTATTAATACAAAATTTCAATAACTGAGAGCCACTGTTAAGTCTTTGTTGAAAGACAACATTAAATATACTTAAATAAGATTAACTGGAATTGGATAAGAGTCTATATGCATGATTACAAAATGAAACTGAAGCCGGACATCAAACGACCAATGATAAGTATATAGCCATTACATTTTTCGAATAATTTGCATTCGTTACACAATCAACATATGTCAAATATATATACCACTTTCTTACCTGCTACGGTTATGAAAAAAAAGAGAGAAATACTTTCTAAAAACGTTTCATTTTTTTTTTTTTTATTATTTCAAAATTTAATAAACATCCCGATAAATTGATAAACAATGCGAAATTTCCTAAAAGCAAAATAAACATGACTCATATAAATTCATATCTTTTTGAACTTTGATTATAGTATATAAACCGATATTGCTCTTATAATCGAATATTTTATCAACGCAATTTATAATAATCAATGGTGAAATGACAATTTACAAGAAATTAAAAACAAATCAATAATCATTGAAAAATTAATGTATAATTTATTAATCATTAATTTTTGGGACGAAATTATTTATACGATAAAAAAAGAAAAAAAAAATTAAAAATAATATTCAGATGAAACATGAAATTTTTAACGCATAATAAATAACCTGATGTAACCGTGGCGGAAGAACGCATAACACGTGACAAGATTAGATTAGACAAAATAAAATATCTCTGGTCGTTTGCACCAGTTAAATGTTTGCTGCTAGAGAGAGAGTATTGTATAGACAAAAATAGACACAACATTTATAAGTGTTCACAACTTTCGACCACTGCCTAAATTGTACATTAAATCGAAAAATTTTAAAAATACATAAATAACGTTCATCATTTTTATATATATATATAAAAATCGTCTAAAATCCAAATAAACGTAAAATTACCATTAATATAAATTACAAAATTTTCCACATTACATTCATTTGAACAGATGTTTCATTATTTAAATCTATGAATCAATTAAAAATCAATTTGAATTTTTTTTTCACAACATAATTAGATAATTATATTACAAGAAAAAAAAATTAAAAGTGAGGTTAGATTATAGAGTATAAATAAAAATTGTATAAATTTATTTTTTATAATTGAAAAATTAAAACTGTCACTCACCGCTTGAAATAAAAAAAAAAATGAACATTTTTTTTTCTAATATTATATACATTTACGTATCAAGTAAAATACACATACCATGAGATTAAATGACGAAATAACCTATACCAATATTAGAAACACATTTTATGTTACTTCATCGATTTGACTTTTTTCAAAACTTTTTATAGAATGATGAAAAAATGAAAGCATTTTAAATAAGATTAAACACAAATGACAAAAAAAAATTATAATAAAAATTAATAGTATGGCATTCACTTCCACGTAGAGAAATAAATGCGTTAGCGAAATTGTGAACACGTTCCCTATGACCAAAATGGCTGTTTGCTAAAATTGGATACCACGTTCGCACAAAAAAGTGTTCATTTAAAAAAAAAAACAATTCCAAATGTAAATAAAGAATAAATTCGTTTATATTTACCTTGTCGTCGAGGAAAAGTCATATAAAATGGTATCGCCCTGCTGGACGGTCGCCTTCTAGCGCAAAAAATACAACTCGAGCCGATGAAATAATTAAGACAGATGGATCGCCCAAAGCTCTCTCACTAAGAGACTTCCTGTGCGTTTTGTCGTCACCTGAAAAATAAAGAAAAAACAAATCTCTTTAAACACTATCAATTCACGTTAAATTAAATTTCAACTTACTCTCAGTACAATAGAAATCTTTATGATTAATTTTAATCACCAACGATTTGATAATTGCTTTCGTTTATTATAGTTTTTTTTTGTTAGGATCGCAATGAAAACGTTCCGGCTTCTTCAACAACTGCGTGAATAATAAAGAATGAAAATTTCATTTCCGCTGACAACTTCACACTGAATGATAATCGATAAGTATCGAAATTTAAAATACATTCAAAAACTTCATTTAGAGGTAAAAAAAAGTTACAAACAGGAAAACAATTGTTAACTTATTTTTAAATAAAACAATTGATGTTTCTATTACAAAATTTAACAATAACAATAATTATTTTGCTAATAATATAATATTCATCTCCAGTCAATATCACCTTCGGTGATTTAAAAAAAAATATATACTTTTCTATCGCAATTAAGAATAATTTAAAAAAAGAATTACGTTATTTAATACAAATTAATATGACTATAATATTTATAAGTGTTGTAATATAAATAAAGAATTTATAGAAAGCTTACATTCATGTTGATAGGGTTGTCTATCTTTCAGGGGCCTATGTTGTCATGCTGTCATTATCAAAATTGGAAACATGTCAACGATTGTAAGTTTATTATCTTTAAAAAATCAATATAAATAAACGTGAATTTGTAATTAGCATATGACTAATATTATTTAGTACTTAGAATATTTTATTATCAGTATAAAAATATTATAGAAATTTTGTGTAAAATATATATAGTAACGTGGCAAAATATAAACATAACCTCTAACATATTGTTATAATAAAAAGTGAATAAAAAAAACTTTATAATTATTTAATTTATTTATTATTTATGTTTATTATTTTATTTTTGCAATTTTAATTTCTTTTTCTATAGAAAATGAAAGCAGTCAAGTGTCCAACTGAGGATCTTAGCTATACTAATTGTGCAATTATCAACAATAATGATTTTCCAGATGATGTCAAGTAAGTTATTAAAAAAAAAAAAAAAAAAAAAACAAGTACAAATATAAATAAAATAATAAGAAATTTCCATATCTCTGAAACTTTCAATTTTTATGTCCCTCGTGATATAATTTGTAAATTTCAATAAATTTTTACTTTATTTTTGCCAACTGTGGAATTTTTTTTTTTTTATTTAAAAATAATTTGTATCTTTAAATAATTAATATTTTTTTGAAAATAAAATGTTTTATGTCTCCACTTTTAAAATAAAAAATTTGTTACTTAAAATTTATAAATACCAAAGCTGATAAAAATCATAATTTTCTTAAAAAAATAAGAAAAATCCAATTTTTTCAATTTAAATCTGATTTTTTTTTTTATTTAAATCATATTTATTTTTATATTTACGTCATATTTTTCAAAGGTTAATTTTCTAAATTATTTATTTTTTTAATAGAGATTTAAAATAAATTTAATAATAAAAGCATCAAAGAAATATTTATATTTTTATCACAGACATTTTAAAGTAAAAATTAAAATTGTTTAACAATTTATGTTTTTCAAAATTATTGATTTCTAAAAAGTGAATAATTTTGTAATATCATACCTTCAAAAGTTTGTATTACTAGAACTTTTTTTTCAAATATTATAACTATAATTAAAAAAAATTTTGAACTAAAATTATGCAAAAAAAAATTTTTTAAATAAATCTTTTGATTTTTGCAATTTTAATAACTTTGTAATTATAGTAAAATGGATGAAATAAATCAAACAAAATGTTTTTAAATATTTTTTTTAACTAATTATAATAGTTTTAATGTAATATAAAGATTTTTAAACAACTATTTTCAAGGTTGTCACAGGTCAAGGTAATCGGTGAAAAGTCAGGGATTTCTATTAAAAACACTGCAAAAATATCAAAGAGCTGAATTTATTTTTTAAAAAATTCAGACTTTTGAATGTAAATAGAGAAATTTAATAATACTTTCCATGATTTAAACAAAAAAAAAATAAATTATTTTTTCAGAGTCAGGTAAAACTTGGGGATTTTTATTAAATTAAAAAAATATCAAAGATATGAATTTGTTTTAAAAAATTAAAATTTAAAATCTTTAAAAATTTTATTATTTTAAATGATTTTTTATAATTTTTAATTCAAATAATTTAATTATTTTCAAAAATTTCAATTTGAAACCTTTTAAAATTTAATTATATCTAAAAATGTTAACTGTAACTCTTCCAAAATTTAATGATTTTAAATGACCAAAATCACAAAAAATTTCAATTCAAAATTACTTGAAGTTCAATTAATTTCAAAAATCTAAATATTGTAAATCCTTGAAAATTCAATTACTTTTAAAAAATGTTATCTAAAATTATTTTATAAATTATTTTTTGTTCTGTAAAATGTAATTATTATCTGAAATTTACCAAATCTTTTGAAATTTAATTATTTCTAAAAATTTCAACTATAACTCTTCTAAAGTTAAATTATTTTTAATAATTTTAATATTTCTTTAAAAATTCAATTATTCAAAAAAATTTTTAATTAAAATTATAAAATTAAATTGTTGTCAGCATTTTCTATTTTTAGAAATTTGTCCTATGTAATGAGTATTTAAAAAATTTATGTCTCTTTGATTCTGAAATATTCGAAATAAATTTTCTTGATAATATTCCAATTGAATTATTCTTATTAAGAAATTAATAAAATGGATTTAATATCTAATTCAACATTAATTATTTAAAGTAAAATACTTATTAACTAAATAAATTTAATTAAAAATAAAAAAATCAATTTTTTCTATTTTTTTTTTTTTGGAATGTAAGTCGACTAAAAGAACTTTTTTTTGCGCCTTAAAGTCAATCCAAGGCCTGTGGTCTGAAAAAATTAAAAAAATTTCATTGAAAAATTTCTTGCTTGTCAAAATTAATAATTCTGAAATTTATTATAAATTGTAAATTTCATTTCAATTAAAATATAATATTAATTTTATAAAATTTAATTTTTTATAGACACGTTGAAGTAATAACAGGACCAAATCAACATTTTGTATTCTCTGTAAGAAATCATCATGAAATATCACGGGGAACAGTTGGATTTAGTCTTCTTCAACGTAAATGGGCGACATTGTCCCTTAATCAAGAGATAGAAGTTCGTGCGTTCACTGATTTTTCAAAAAGTGCCGCATGTGTCTGCAATATGGTTCTAGAAGTTGATTTTTTATTGAAAAAAACGTAATTCTTTTCTTTTATTCCTAAATCTATTTCAAAAAATGTAATTATCAATTTTTGAAAAAAAAAATTTATTAAAATAAATTCGAAAAATTATTTCAGAGCTTCACTTGAGCCATACGATACCGATTTAATGGCAAAAGATTTTCTACTTCAATTCTCAGGTTGTGCATTCACTGTTGGACAATTATTGCCATTTAAATTTCTCGATAAAAAAGTCCTTAGCGTTGTAGTGAAATCAATAGAGGCTGTTGATTTATTGACAGTTGGTGCAGGACAAAATGTAAAACCAATAAAAATTAAACTTGGTCGTTGTTTAGGCGATACTGTAATACAATTTGAAAAAACAATGAATTCAACGTTAAATCTTGTTGGTAAATCAATGGGAAAAATGGCACGTCAATCGATAATAAATCCCGATTGGAATTTTGAAGATATGGGAATTGGTGGATTAGATAAAGAATTTACGGATATTTTTAGACGTGCTTTTGCATCAAGACTTTTATCGGTGGATGTTGTTTCGAAATTAAATTTTAAACATGTCAAAGGAATTTTACTTTATGGTCCACCAGGTACGGGTAAAACATTAATGGCTCGGCAAATTGGTAAAATGCTCAATGCAAAGGAGCCAAAAATTGTTAATGGACCACAAATTTTGGATAAATATGTCGGTGAAAGTGAAGCAAATATTCGACGATTATTCGCTGATGCTGAGGAAGAGGAGAGAAAAGTACAGAAAAAAAAAAATAATTTTTTTTATTTCAATTATTAATATTTTTCTTTTACAATTTAAAATTTTTTTGTTCAATTTATTATTTTAATTTTTTTTTACCTTTAATTTATGATTTTTGTCAGTTGGGACCAAATAGTGGGTTACATATTATTATTTTCGATGAGATTGACGCAATTTGTAAATCGAGAGGTAGCGTCAGTGGGAATACGGGAGTTCACGACACAGTTGTAAATCAATTGCTTTCAAAAATTGACGGCGTTGAGCAATTAAATAATATACTCGTGATTGGCATGACCAATAGACGTGACATGATTGATGAGGCTTTACTTCGACCAGGAAGATTGGAAGCAAGTATCTTTTTTTTTGGTTTTTGTAAAAAAAAAAAAAAAATTCGTTTTTTTGTAATTAAATTATTTTTTTTTCTAGATACAATTAGAAATCAATTTACCTGATGAAAATGGAAGATTTCAAATTTTGAATATTCACACGGCTAAAATGCGAGTTCACAATAAATTAGCGAATGACGTTGATTTAAAAGAATTGGCTGGTTTAACGAAAAATTTCAGTGGCGCTGAAATTGAAGGTTTAGTGAGAGCAGCACAAAGTACGGCTATGAATAAATTGGTTAAGGTGACAAATAAAGTTGAGGTGGATCCAGAGGCGATGGAAAATTTTAATGTTAATAGAGGAGATTTTATTTATTCTCTTGAGAATGATATTAAACCGGTAATTTAATTTTATTTATTTTAATAAAAACATTTCTTTATTTATTTTTTTGAAAATTATATATTTCAATTTTGTAAATTAATTTTATTTTTTTTAGGCTTTTGGAACAAATGATGATGATTTGGGTCGATTAATGTTAAAAGGAATTATCACTTGGGGTAAACCAATCGCCGATATTCTTAGTGAGGCTCTTTTTTGTAAAGAACAATTACTTGCAACTGAAGGACCGGCTCTTGTTTCAATTCTTCTCGAGGGTCCGAGAAAAAGTGGCAAAACTGCATTGGCAGCACAAATAGCGAAGAATACAAATTTTCCTTTTATCAAAATTTGCACATCCGAGGATATGATCGGTTTTTCAGAACCCGCGAAATGTTCAGCGGTAGAAAAGGTATTTAAAGAAATTAATTATTAAAATTATAAAACAATATTTATAGTGTAATACTATAAAGATGAGTCAAAATTTGAAAATGTTAGGGAAAAACATAAAATATTGTTTGGAAGTCAGAGAAAATTGTAATGAAAATTTTGTGGCCTCTCTAAATTAGGGAATATTTAAATAGAATTTTTTTTTTTTTTTCAAAAAAATAATTTTATAAATTAATTAATAATATTTTTTTCAGATATTTACCGCAGCTTATCGTTCTCAACTCAGTTGTGTATTAGTTGATAATATTGAACGTTTTCTCGATTATGGACCAATTGGTCCAAAATATTCTAATTTAATGCTACAAACTTTATCGCTATTGTTAAATAAAAAGCCACCACGTGATCGTAAATTATTAATTATTGGCACCACTAGTCGAAAGTAATATTATTTTCTAAAGAAATTAAATTTTTTTTATAACACAAATAATAATATTAATTATTATTATTAAATAATTTTATTCTTTTATTTAATAGACAAATTTTGCAAGATCTTGAAATTCTCTCCGATTTCAAGACAATTCTTCATGTACCTAATTTACAAACAGCAAATGATATTCTCTCGGTACTTGAAGAGGTAGATTTATTTTCAAAAGATGAACTTGTCAATCTTCATGGAAAATTACAGGGCAGAAGGTATATATTTTTTAATAAAAATTTTATTAATATTTATAATTTTTTTCTCTAGATAATTAATTATTAAAATTTTTTATTTTAGCATTTATATTGGAGTTGAAACATTATTAGATTTAATAGATCGAGCTAGACCAGTGGAGGCGAATTATCGAATGTCAAAATTTATTTCTAAATTAGAACAAGAAGGTTATCTTGAATGAAGAAATAAATATTTCTATTTTTCATTTTTTTTTTTATAAAGGGAAAAATAACATTAAATGTGCAATTAATGTAAATATTTATAATATATATATATATAATAAGTGTGTGTAATTGTGCGTGGATTAAAAATGAAATTTTGTACGTTGCATGGATGAAAATTGAAAATTGTATTTTATATAAATTCCATGTGATTGACTCTAAACTAACCTACCTCTAAGAAATGGAATGTAATTATGAACAAATTTTTGTAATAAATTTAATTAATATATATTATATTTTTTAAAAAGTTTATAGTCATTTATTTTATTTTATAATTTTTGATGGTTAAATATTTATTTCGGGAAATTGACTGGGAATCTTTTATTAAATGTTAATTATATAAATAATTTATTAATATTATGTTTTTATTTATTATTTTAATAATATCACGTTCATGATATTAATAAATTATTTATATAATTAACATTTAATAAAATAAAGTATAAAATGTTATTCTTTTTTAAATATCGTGCAAAAATGATATCGATTGATTATCGCTTGAGTTGAATCGATAAACTGCCAACTTCATTACTGTTCGTGAATATCAATGGCGGGAGATGGATTTTGTTTTTATTATTTATAATCTTTTTTTTTTATTTAAATAAATAAAGATAAAAAAATATAAAGAAGATTGTGTGCTAAATTGAAAGATAGTTTTGACTTCAAGATGTGGTTTTTAAAGGGACCTAAAGGTAATTAAATGTCTATTACGTATTATCTTGAAATTCGAGCCGTTCTTTTTTTTTGACATTCGTGTCAAAGTATATGAATTAACAAAGAATTAACTATACTTACAAATTCTAAATGCGAAAAGAATATTACTTACTAATTATTTGCTTCCATTGAAAAATGTATAAACAATGTTGAAACATTTTTTTTTCTTCTAATTACACACTATTTTTAGATTTAAAGATTCTAACCTAAAAATATTTCACAAAATTCAATTCTGTAACTGACACATTTTTTAAACGTATATGCAATGATGTTTTTATTGATATTTTTTACAAATATTTTCAATCTAGTCCTTAACATTTTAAATAACAATAAGGACGAATTTTATTAAATTTTATTTATAGTTGTATTAAAAGTATAGAAGTGTGCAAAAACTCGAATTTTACATTGACATACTCAAATCGAATAAGTTAATTCTTATGAAGAGAATTGAATTTTGATACTTTTGCACATCTTTAATTAAAAGCTAATTAAAAACAAATGTAAAATATTACAGGTGAAATAATTTATCTGAAACGCAACTCCTCAATAAATGTGGGAAGAATTCAAGGCGATATTGTTTTGAGAGATGATAAATCTATCAGTAGAAATCATGCTTCAGTTTCAGTTGAACCGAAGGTAACATTAAAAAAAGGTTTTTTTTTATAATTTTTTTTTTAAAATGGAAAATTTCATCTACGTTAAATGTAATTTTTTTTCAGAATTACAAAAACAAATCGTTGTGTTTTGTCAAGGATATTGGCTCAAAATATGGAAGTACAATTATGAGAGGAAGTGAAACAATAAAAATAACAAAGGAAGGAATAGAAGTTCATCATAAGGATAAAATTAAATTTGGATTGCAAAACAATGATTACGTGTAGGTTTCAATTAAAAATTATTATTATTTTTATTATTATTAATCGGAATTATTTTAATATTTATTTATGAGCCGAAAGTTCTGAACGTTCATTTGAACGAAATATTTTTTTTAATCTATAAATTATTAAAAATTATGATGACGACCATGTAAAATAAAACATTTAATTAAACAATTATTAAATTAATAACTTCTTTTTAGATATTTTAAACAATATTTTGTAATAAAATTCGTACTTAAAGAAGTAGCAAAACAAATTTCGTTCATATGAACGTTTAAAACTTTTGGCTCATATTTATTTTTATTAATAAAATTAAAACAATAATAATAAAATAATAATAATATTAGTTTAATATTTTAAACGTTGAAGAAATTAGTTTTATTGCAAATTAATTAAATTATTTTGTAATAATCGTTTTTAAAATTGTTTTTATAGAGCTTTCTACATTCCTACAGTAGTATTGGTTTCTTCTATGAATGATACTAAATATTTGCAGTCATTAATTAACGAGCTTGATGGATACATCGTTCTCGAATGGTCAAATGATGTAACTCATCTCACAACTATAAAGGCAAAATTGGGAGAAAAGGTATAGAAATCATTTAAATTTAATACAAAGGAAAATTATTATTTGATTAAAATTAATTATCATAAACATTCTTTTTCTTTTTTTTTTGATTTTCAGATAGCAACTGCTCTTGTCAATTGTGTTCCAATTGTTGGAATAGAATATTGGGAAGCTGTTAAGCTTGCAGTTAAGAATAATCAAGATTTACCCAAATTTTCTGATTATATTCTTCCAATTTCAGAGGATATAATAGACAATACAAAAGTGTCTCTATCGCCAAATATCATTCGAAAATCATTATTTAGTGGTTCATCATTTTTATTTTTCAGCTATTCACAGCTTAATATTTACAAGAAGATCATTAATGACGCAGGTAAGAAGTATTTTTCATGATTCTTTGAAAAGGAATTCAAAAATGCTAGAGAAATGTCAGGAAATAAAAATATTTATTCTTATCGCAATACTGTTAATAAAATTAGATATTTGATTACATTGCAATAATATAATTTTAATATTATTACAGGTGGAAAAACTATAATGTTCAAGAAATCAATTCACTCTGATTTAAAGCAATTTTGCTCGGATAATTTTATTGTTGTCTATTATATGATTGGTTCTAGTCAAACGGAAGAGAGTATTCTCGATACGCAGAGAACAAAAACAGCTTACGAGGAAATTGGTATTTATTTTGTATCTAGTAATTTTTTTGAGTTATTGAATAAAAATAAAAAATTTTACTAACATTGCTTTTTATTGTAGATGAACTATTACGAAAATCAAAGCGTCGAATGATTTCCGATTCAGAAATAATGTTGGCAATTTTACATTGTTCTTTGGATAAATATTGTAACACAAAACATAATTATAAAGAATTATTGTTGAAACAAAATATTAATGTTTCGAAAGATGATAGAAAAACTATTTTTGCATTAGACACTGAAGAATTACATTCAAAAACATTGGAATCACACAATAATGACAATATTGTGCCTGAGTCAATTGAAATAACAAGTCAAGATACTCAATGGAGTGTTATTGGAAATCCAAGTAAAATTCCCCCTTCTTCATTGGGAATTTCGGCAATTAGTACAATTAAAGGTGATAGTCAAGAATCCACCGAAGATATTGGAAGTGAATTGTCTAAACTCACTGTTGATAATAAACGTTCTGAAAAAAGAAGTTCAGAATTTATAAGTTCAACACCAGTGAAAAGGGCAAAATTTAATAATGCAAGTTCTTTATTTCCTGTTGTCTCAAAAAAAAGTTCACAAAATATTCTAAATTCACAAGATTTACTTATTTCTCAAATATCTAAAAATTCCCAATCAATAAATAGAGACGATTCTATAATTGTTGATTACGTTAAAAAATCAACTACTTCTTCTTATTCTTCTCAATCACAAAATAAATTTAACCAACCGTCAACATCAAATAATAATGAAAAACAAAAAGTTAAATCAACAAAAAATATATTTGACAATTGGATGGAAGAAAAACCAAAATCAAATAAAATAGAAATAATCGAAGATTTGGATTCGCCAAAGAAAAAAACAACAACAATTGATAAACGTGATTCATCGTTAAAGGAAAATAAAATTCCACAAAAAATAAGAACACATTCTGATTCAATGGTGAATGATAATTTTATTGATGACAATGAACCACAAATGAAAAAAAGAAGAATAAATACTAATAATAGTAGTAGCAGTTCAAGTTCATTAGGAATTAATTCTGAAAGGAATGATAAAAGAAAACGAGACACTGGAAATGATTCAGATAGCAATCAATTTGTTATTGAAAAGAAACAAAATCGTGATGATAATGAGAAAATATTTCAAATAGAAGTAGGGGATAATTTTAACAGTAACGATGTACGTATATTTTTAGCATTTTTTTTTTTACATCAAATTTAAAAATGAAAAAAATTAAAAGTTAATATTGCCCTTGTTCCAGGAGTCAGTTTTGATAATTTTTTTTTTGTATGAAAAAATAAATTTTTAACAGTTACTGAAACAACGACGATATAGTAAAATGAATTGATATACATACTTGTTATAAAGTTTTATATTAAATTTTATTGAAATAATTTAAATTTATTATTTTACAGGACGATTGTCTTATAGTCACGGGTTTAATTCGTCAAGAATTAAGTGATCCTTCTCTAAACGATACTTTTGGCCAGAAAATATTTAATAAGGTAATATTACATTTATACTATTGAATTTAAAAATTTTTAAATTTGCCTCTGTTAAAGGAAAAGAAAAAAAATTGTCAGTTTCACAGAACCGAAATTTACACGTATATCTTTAAGTTTCGCATTAGTTTTTAATAAAATTTAAGTGATAAAAATATTTAAAAAATGATACTTTTACTTTCAGGTAACATTAATCTGTAAATTATTATTTTTGCTTCTTTTTTTCTTTTGAATTTTTATATACTAATATTTATTTTTCTTACAGGCTTATAATAAAATTCCAAGAATGAGAATAACACTTGATTCTATGGTTTCTTATGGAATCGAGGTTGAATAATAAAGATGTGTTTGAATATAAAATTACTCTCATATCTTTTGTTATTATTTCATATTAATTATTATTATTATTATTATCGCCTCAGTCGTGTTTAATTATTTAATGATTGTCAAATTTGTTAGTTATCGGTTTTCTTTGTCACGTTTAAACGTTCATTTGCCGATTGTCAAATTGTATTCTTGTATGCGAGTAGAATTTTGTCATAAACATGAAATGAAATATTATTTTTATAATATGTATGAGTTTTCATTTTTGTTAAAAAAAAAAAAAAAAAAAAAAGTAAATAAATATTCTATTTGTAATATTGATTATTGTAATTATTTTAATATTAATATACAAATTTTATTTCTTTATTATTATACATTTTAAAAATTACTAATTAAAAATTAATTATTGTATTTTAATTAATAAATATAATTAATTAGGGTAAGAGTGAGTGTAACTGCGATTGTCATAACTAAAAAAAAAATAAATTTTTTTTATAAATTCGCTTTTTTATGATAAATATGTTTAATTTTTAAAAATTAATAATAACTTTTGATTAAAAAAATATAGAGTATTTTTGTATTCCATTAAAATTTGAAAATTTTCCGCGAATTATCAATAATCGTTCGTTGATATTTAATATTTTTTTTTACAGCATCTAATTTATTACCGTCTTTATTTATAAATTTATTAATCGCATATAAAAAACCAAATAATCATATAACTTGTCATAATAATTAAATTTCTTAATAAATAATTTAAAATATTTTATAATATAAATTTTGGTTTTTTTATTCGATAGATGCGATTATCGAAATTTCATTTTGCGCGCGCGCATATGTCAACAAAAATAGGAGGTTAGGAATCACTGTAGTTGCTCTATAGTCACATGGGTAAAGCATGTATTTTTATTATTGTAAATATAATAATAAATAAACAATTGTTCAGTTATGTTTAATTCTATTAAGAATTGTGCTAAATTAGTTGTTCAAAGAAATGGCAAGAAATTAGGTAACAAAAAGTCAAAATCATCGAAAAAAGTATTAAAAACCCTGCCGGGTAAGTTTATATTTCACATTTCCGCATATTTACATTTTCATTTAATTATAATTATTAGTTTTCTCGTTAACATTTTATAAAATTTCTAACAAAATTTTTGCTAAACAATTGAATTGCATTTTCATTGAATTTAAAGAGAAAATTAAAACATACTACTTATTAATTTAAATTTACCAAAAATTGTTGATTGTAATATTTTGATTTTCTATGTAATAATTAGTTTTAGTTATTTTATTATATTTTATATTATATTAACAATGACAGTAATATAATGTTTATTTATATTAAATTTTTAATAGTATTTCAGTATCCCATAAGCGAATCGAGTGATCGTCGAGTTTATGTTTGGGGTTTGGCTGAACATGGAGCATTGGGAACAATTGACAGGGTTCAAAAAATTGATTATATTTCTTTTATTCCAAAACCAAGTAGATTAACATTTGGCGAAATATTTAACGTTGTTGATTTTGCTTGTGGTTATGGTTTCACAGCATTTGCTGTACGTTCTAATGACAATAATATTGTTTATGGCAGTGGAATCAATACAGATTCGCAAATTGGTAAATTAAAAAATTATTTTATTAATTTTTATTAATAACTAGCAAAATTAAACGCGCGCAAGCGCGCCAAATTGAGTATTTAATTGTTTGTTATAAAAAAATTAAAGATTAATATTATCAATAATAATGAAAATTATATGTTTACAGGCCTCGAATTATACGACTTTTTCCGACTTTTTTCAAAAATACAACTTTTATCGACTTATTTTAATAAAATGCGACATTTTTTTTTACATTTGAAAAAAATGTAAATAAAATACATTTTTTAGTATAAAATGTAGATCTTCTTCAGATCTTCTTCAGATCTTCTTCAATTCAATTATTTAACAAATTTTGAACTAAAATGATTCTTCACTAAATTAATTATTTTTAATAATTTTAATGAAATACATCACAAATTCAATTATATCAAAATTATTTTTCAATTAAAATTTTTATGAAATTTAACAATTGTTTATAATTAAAAAAAAAAAATATCACAATAAAATTGAATTAGTTTTTAAAAATGTCAATTCAAAATAAACTAAAATTCAATTATTATACCCGAAATTTTAATTCAAAATCAATTAAAATTCAATAATTATCCAAAATTTTCAATTTAAAATTTAATTATTTACCAAGTTTTTAATTTAAAATGAAATAAAATTCGATTATTTTCTAAAATTTCTATTTAAAATTAATTATTTAAATTTTCAATCAAAAATGAACTTAAATTAAATTATTATCCAAATTTCAATTAAAATTCAATTATTTCCGAAAATTTTCAATTCAAAATGAACTAAAATTCAATTATTTTTCAAATTTAAAATCAAATAAAATTTCATTATTCTCAAAAATTTGAATTCAAAATTAATTGAATTTTCAATCATTTGAATTTAAAAGCATCTAAAATTTAATTATTTCTAAAATTTTCCATCGAAAATTTTTTTTTTGAAATTTAATAATTTCAATTATAACTCTAAGGAAATTCAATTATTTTTAACTATTTTAATAATATTCTTTGAAAATTCAACTATCTGAAACCATTTTTCAATTAAAAATGATTTTCAAATTATTGTATTTTGTCCGCATTTTCTAATAAATTTTTAGTGAAATCATCTAAAATTTTAATTACAAAATACTTAAAGTTTCAATTAAATTCAAAAATCTCAAATTTAAATCTTTGAAAATTCAATTAAATATAAAAAATGTTTTCCAAAAATTCTTTGATAAATTATTTTTAGTTCTGTAAAATTTAATAATTGTTTGAAAAATAACAATATCTTTTGAAATTTAATTATTTCTAAAAATTGCAACTTTAACCCTTCGAAAAGGATTATTATTAAAAAAAAATTTTTTATTTAAAAATCTGTAAAATATTTTTGTTAAAATGAAAAACAAATTCACTTTTTTTTGGAATATAAATCGACTGAAACGACTTTTTGTTACTTTAAGTTGATTTGAGGCCTGTATTTTTATAATTAATATTTAATAGGTATTCGTTGGCCCCTGGTACCTTAAAAATTAATTTTTAAAAATAAATTTTTTTAAATTACTATCTTGTACTATTCAAAAAAACACGTGAAATCAGAAAAGGCCAACTTCAAGTTAGGACAGAAGGACAGACCAAGCATTTTATTATTATATTTAACCAACATAAAATAATGTCAAACAACACATTTAAAAAAAAACAAAAGACCTGTAACAAATACTAACTTCAGGTGTGGACAGAATGAACGAAAGATATTCACGATTATTTTTATTAATAATAATAGGGTCAGTTGGGATAAATGGGGACAAAATTGCTATTTTTCACAAATTACTTAAGTTTCTTCCTTTAAAAAGTAATATTTGTGAGTTTATATTTTTTTAAATTGTTATTTACATTTTCAGGATTAATTTTATGCAACAGAAAAAAAATTTAGATATATGCTTTAAACGCATGAAACTGACTGTCCCCATTTACCTCAAAATTAAGAAAATTTCATAAAATTCGGGGTAAATGGGGACAGCATAGTTTCTAAGAAAGTTTTAAGAAAAAAGTTTCCTTAAGTATATTACTGTATTAAGGGATGAAAAAACTTGAAAAAAACTTGTAGTAGATGTATAATAGTTGAACCAATTGAAATTTTTTAATTTTTTTAATTTTTTTTTTATTTCAGTATTTTGTCTCGCATTTGAAAAAAAACAGACTTAAAAATCATACCATATTTTTTTCTTATTCCTTATGACTCCCATAACAGAAATTCACTTGAATTTTTAATTTTTTTTTTTAATTTGGTTAATAATGACAAAAATCAAAAATTCAAGTGAATTTCTGCTATGGGAGTCATAAGGAATAAGAAAAAAATTTGGTATTAATTTTAAGTCTTTTTTCTTTGAAATGCTCGACAAAATACTGAAACAGTTTGACTTTGATTTTCAAGTTTTTATGCATTGAGCGATAACTTTTTTTATCTTGTTGCAAATTGTCAAGATAAAAGCTTGGCAATACTCAAAACCTCTTGCAGGTGATCTGAGGTTAAAATATTGACGTTGAACTTCATTTTAAAACTGTAAATTAAGGTCCAACACCTCTTGTCCCTAATTACCCCCTGTCTCCATTTACCCTAACTGACCCTACTTGCAAATTTTAATTTATTTATTTCACTCAAATATTTCAATTTAATTTAATAATAAGTCAACAAAATACATGTTTATAATTTTATATTTTTATTAATATTTAGTTTCTAAATCATTTCTATTAATATGTTTGTGATTTGTAAATTTAAATATTTTATATTTTTATGAGCCAAAAGATTTGAACGTTCAAATGAACAAAATTTTTTTTGCAACTTCTTTAACCCTTTCGTGCCCATGGGACATATATGTCCCACCTACAAAAACCTCCAGAACTCTAAACAGATTAAATATTTTTTATTCAAACTTGGTGCATTTTTTTCAGGAAGGATAGAGCTTTCAAAAAATGGAACTCACATTTTGTTTAAAAATTTATATTGTTCAGAAAAAAATATAAATAATTATGAAAAATGACGAATTTTTAAAACATTTTAGATTCGCTTGAAACTGGTTACTCGGGGGTTTTTGGGGTCGCTGAATACGAATCCGATGTTAGTTTTTGAAAATTCAAAATGGCGGATCCAATATGGCGGACGAAAAAATTAAAATTGTTCGGATTTGCTTGAAAATTGTCACTCGGGGGTTTTCGGGGTCGCTGAGTACGAATCCGATACTAGTTTTTCAAAATTCAAAATGGCGGATCCAATATGGCGGACGAAAAATCAACATTGTTCGGATTCGCTTGAAAATGGTCACTCGGGGGTTTTCGGGGTCGCTGATTACGAATCCGATATTAGTTTCTCAAAATTCAAAATGGCGGATCCAATATGGCGGACAAAAAAATCAAAATTGTTCGGATTCGTTTGAAAATGTTCACTGGGGGGTTTTCGGGGTCGCTGATTACGAATTTGGTATTAGTTTTCAAAAATTGAGTCTTAAATCCAATGTTGCAGATCAATTTTTAATAATCGTTAACAATCGATTGAAACTAATTTAAATTAAACAAATTAAAATAAGTTAAAAGTATAACAGCAATAGAAGTTTATTTTTTTATGTCTGTAACGGCCTTCCACACCACCCTTGAGGTTCCGCAAGAAGTGCGTTGGATTTTTTTTGTTAATAACTTTTAAAAATACGTCCATCACATTGCATCCGTCATTTTGAAAAACTAATATCGGATTCGTAATCAGCGACCCCGAAAACCCCCGAGTAACCATTTTCATGCGAATCCAAACAATTTTGATTTTTCGTCCGCCATATTGGATCCGCCATTTTGAATTTTGAGAAACTAATACCAAATTCGTAATCAGCGACCCCGAAAACCCCCCAGTGACCATTTTCAAGCGAATCCGAACAATTTTGATTTTTCGTCCGCCATATTGGATCCGCCATTTTGAATTTTGAAAAACTAGTATCGGATTCGTAATCAGCGACCCCGAAAACCCCCGAGTGACAATTTTCAAGCAAATCCGAACAATTTTAATTTTTTCGTCCGCCACATTGGATCCGCCATTTTGAATTTTGAGAAACTAATATCGGATTCGTAATCAGCGACCCCGAAAACCCCCGAGTGACCATTTTTAAGCGAATCCGAACAATTTTGATTTTTCGTCCGCCATATTGGATTCGCCATTTTGAATTTTGAGAAACTAATATCGGATTCGTAATCAGCGACCCCGAAAACCCGCGTGTAATCATTTTCAAGCGAATCCAAACAATTTTGATTTTTCGTCCGCCATATTGGATCCGCCATTTTGAATTTTGAAAAACTAATATCGGATTCGTAATCAGCGACCCCGAAAACCCCCGAGTGACAATTTTCAAGCGAATCCGAACAATTTTTATTTTTTCGTCCGCCACATTGGATCCGCCATTTTGAATTTTCAAAAACTAACACCAGATTCGTAATCAGCGACCCCAAAAACTATAGGAACCACTTTAGTTTCGTTTTTTTATATGCTCAGTTTTGCCTGGGCACGAAGGGGTTAAGTACGAATTTTATTACAAAATATTGTTTTAAATATCTAAAAAGAAGTTATTAATTTAATATTTGTTAAATTTTTTTGTTTTATTTTACATTGACATTATAATATTTAATAATTTATAAATTGAAAAAATATTTTGTTCATTTGAACGTTCAGAAATGTTGGCTCATATATTTTTGTTGTATTTTGTTTATTTATTTGATTTTATTTATTGATGTGATGTATATTTATTGATTTTAATTAGGTAAAAAAAATTTATTTTTTAATTTTTTGTTTAATGTTATAATTTTGAATTTAAAATTGTGTTGTATTTATTTGAATATAATTTTTATTAAAGTGACCTGATGATGGTAGCGAACCAATCGAAAAACTAATTTATTTATATTTTTATATTAAAAATAACTAAAAAAGATGAAATATTTTTTTCAATTCATAAATTATTAAAAATTATGATGGCAATGTAAAATAAAACAGTAAATTAAACAATTATTAAATTGCTAACTTCTTTTTTTTTGGCTTTTATCTCACAACTTGTATAAATAAATTAGTTTGCAATTATTTTAAATTTCAGTCCTCTGATTATACGACTTTTTCCGACTTTTTTCGACTTATTTTAATAAAATTCGACTTTTTTGACTCTTTTTTTTTTACAAATTTTTACAAAATTTTTACACAAAATACGCTTGTGTATTTTGAAGATACTTTGCCCACCGTAATTGAAGCCAATTGAAATCTTAAAAATGTTTTAATTACAGCGAGGGAAAAAATTTGATTTCAAATAATTAAATTAATAATTGTTTAAATGTGCATATTTATTAGTAATTGTATCAAAAAAAGATTAAAATATTTTTTTAAAAAATCATTTTGCAACAATTTGCAATTTTGCAAATATTAAATATAATAGTAATAATAGTTAATTTTTTATTAACGCGCCGTATTTGATGCACTTACTCTATTATAATTACAGGATTTCATTCAACTGATAAAAAATATAAACATCCAATTATAACAACACCGAGACCAGTGAATTTACCATTAAAAGAAGCAAAATCTCATGTTGTTTCTTTGGCCGCTGGTAGAGCTCATTTATTAATATTGACAAATGAGGGACTTTTTACATTAGGAAATAATGGATATGGTCAATGTGGAAGACCAATTATTAATAATGAAAATTATAGGAAAAATGCAATTGTACATCATATACCGGATGTCAAGGGAAATCAAATAACTCAAGTGTATGCTGGACAGGATCATAGGTTAGTCATATATTAATAAAAATAATAAAATTTCGATGTTTAAACAAATTTGCCAATCAATTAAATATATATATATATATATTATTTTTCTAATAATTCTTTAAAATAATTTTAGAATCATAATAAGACCAAAATTCATTTCAAACACGAAATTCTGAAATTAGTCGAAATTGAAAATCAATTTTATCCACAAAATATTGTTTTTTGAAGAATTTTATATGACACGTGAGCCATGCATTGTATCCAAATTTATCAATTCTAAAAATTTTACCCAAAAATCTTTTTTTATTTTAAAGAAAGATTGATTTTTTGCAAAACACATTTTCCCATACTACGTCACATGGGAGTTTCCTACATACCATTAAAGGAACCCAAATTATCAAATTCATAAAAAAATTTACCAAAATAATAAAAATCAGTGCGATCACTTGACGTGGAGTTGCTCACGTACTTTTTTGTTTGATTGAAAAAATTGTTTTCATGAAGTTTGTAATTTCATAAATAATATTATTTATAAATAAACTTTGTGAATTTCAGCATTGGTTAAAAAAAAATTTTTTCCGGGCAAAAAAATTTATGTTATTTAAAACCCTTAGGGAAACAATATTTTTGGAGATGAAAATTAATTTTCACTTTCAATCTTGCTCAACATGCCTGATTTAAAATGAATTTGGTAATAAGTAAATAAATTTTACTTGAGGTTTGTAAAATTGTTTTGAAAGATTTAACTAATTACAGTATACTTTTAACTGAAAATGGAGAAGTTTATTGTTTTGGATGGGGGGCCGATGGACAAACTGGTCTCGCTCATTATCAGAATGAATATATGCCCAGTTTGGTTAAAGGTGACTTAGCTGGGCAACGTATTGTTAAAGTGGCATGCGTTGCAGATTGTGTTTTGGCACTTAGTGGTAAGTTTTCTCTTTTTTATAAGTGCTTTTATGCTTATTCTAATCAGACAAAAAAAAAACAAAACAACAAAAAAACTGGCGTGTCAAAAAGAAAATTTAATATAATTCGATTCCAATTTTGAATTATTATAATTTTGGTAATGAATTTTTTTTTATTAGAATTATCAAAATTCAATGTCAATAATTACAATTGTTCTTAAAAAATAGTTTTTAAATTATAATACAAAAAATTGCCTCAAGTCAGGGAAATTAGGAAATTTAAAAAATGTTGTTAACCTACATTTCGAAGAATTTTTGTTAATGATTAAATTTTAAAAGATATTCAATTAAAAATTTGAAAAATATTTAAAAGTATAAAAAACTTTATAAGTAGGTAAAAAATTTTTTGCAAATAATTTAATTTAGATATTTGAAAATAATTGACATCTCGAAGAGCTACAATCAAAGTTTTTTAATAGAATGAAATTTTTGAAAAATTTATAATATAACTTTTTTTATAAATAAATAAATTTTGTGGAAATTAAAATTATTAATGTGTTAAAATCAATAATTTTAATTTGCTAATTGCTTAAATAATTAAATTATTAAAGAAGTTAATTGAATTTTTTTGAAAAAAGTAAAATTTGTAAAGATGTTTAGTTAACTTTTTTTTTAATAACATAATTATACGAAATTAATAGAAATAATTCAATATTGAAAGAGTTGTAATTAAAAATTTTGATTTTTTTCTGCTTTTATAAGATTTTAAACTAAAAATTTCAAAAATAATTCAATTATCGAAGAATTTATTTAAAATTATGAAATATAATTAATTTTTTTTTTTAAATAATAATAATTTAAATTATATGTTTGAAAATAAATTGAATTGTTGAATATATTGAATTAAAAGAATTACAAGAATAATTAAAATTTCGCAACCCTGTAATAGTTACAATCCTTGATAGTTACTGCATTACAAATACATTTTTGAAATTTTATTGGAAACAATCAAAAAATTTCTGCATCATTGAAAATGAATAATTTAATTCAAGTTTCTATTAATATTGCTTTATGATTATTATTTCAATAATTATAAATACCTATGTTTAGTTATTGATTAATAATAATAATAATAATAATAATAATAATAATAATAATAATACTTTAATAATATTTTATACAAATGGTTTATTAAATTGTCCAATTTAGACAAGGGTAAAGTATTTGGCTGGGGAAATTCGGAATATGGACAAATACCAGGTGTAGGTGACAATCAACAGGTAAATATAGCGACGGAAATAGAAACATGTAAAGATATTGGAAGAATAATAGACATCGCGTCTGGTGGCAGTTTTTGTATGGTGTTAAATGGTAAATTTTATTTCATTCAATTATTTTAATCTGTATTCAATAATAATTTGAAAAGTGTTTCAAATTATTATTTATTCTTTTTTTTAATTCCTAAGATGCTGGAGAAGTTTACGTTTGGGGATATGGAATTCTTGGTTTTGGTCCAGAAGTACGAAGCTCACTTAAACCTACAAAAATTCCGTCAACACTTTTCGGTGTTAACGATTATGAGCCTAATATTCGAGTAAGATTATCAAATAATACTAAATTTAAAAAAATTGATATTAAAAATAAATTTTAATTTTTCATTAGATATACGAGAAATAAATTTATTTTACGTAATTATTATTTATTGTAAATAATAATAATACTATTTGTTATTTACTTTTATTAAAATTGAGGTGTATGAAAAAATATGCCAGAAGTACGTTCTAAGCCGAAAGGCAAGAACTATATGTAGAATAAATAAATATAATATTTTCTATTAAAATTATTTTTATAGGTTTCTAAAATTTACTGTGGAATAAGTCATCTTGCTGCAGTTACAAATAAAGGTGATCTTTACATGTGGGGTAGAAATAAATTCGGATCCCTTGGATTGGGTCACGTTAATGATCAATTTTTCCCTCTCAAGGTAATTTTTATTTTTCTATTATTAACAAAAAAAAAAACTAAAAAATATTCTTTTTCTTTTATCTATCAAGAGAAAAAATCATTGAAATATATTTTTAATTTTTATTTCTTTGACATTTTTATACTTATTATGTTAATATTTATAATAATTACAACAATACTATATATTATTATTATTTGCATTAATCATAATTTTTGTTTTTGTTTCCTATTTTTTTTTTTTATTTTTATAAAAAGAAAATTATCCATTAAATTATAAAACAAAGAAATTAAATATAATAATTAAATTGAAAGAAAAATATTTTTCCAGGTTTCAATAGGGGCCGAAGTAAAAAAAGTTTCTTGTGGCGTCGATCACACGGTGACATTGTGTAAACCATTTGTTTAGGAATAAAAATTTTTTTTTTTTAATAATGAATACAATTGTAATTAAAACTTTTAAAAAGATTTTTTTTTTTATTTATACTAGAAAAATATACAAAAAAGTTGCTATTTGTATAAATCTATGAGTTATTACTAGAAAAAAAAAAAACAAAAATAATCTTATGAACAAATTGAAAAACAAATTTTTAACAAGTAAAAACTTTCAATATAATGAAATTTTAAATTTATCGTGAACTATTCTTTCTGTTTTTTTTATAAATATAAAATTATTATAATAAATGAAAATTTATATTTATTTTTTACGAAATGACAATGATTCAATATGGTTATTATATTTATGTGAAGAGACAATGAGATAACAATTTTATTTTTTAATATGAAACTAAATAGCTAATATGTATAGTATTGTTTAAATTTATATGAATTTGAATAATGATACAATTGTTAAAATAATTATAATTGGCAGTGTTGTAAGAGAATTTGCCACACTTGTACAGATCAAGTTTTCATAAGATATCGTATATTTTACTTCATCTGGAAATCGACAGTTTTCTGCAAATAAAAATGTTTAATTAAAAAAAAAAAAAAAAATTTGATAATTTTTTGAAAAAAAGAACAAAAAAATTCAAAATCCAATATGGCGGACAGTTTTTGAAATTTAAAAAAAAAATTCTTAGGAATTTTATTTGTTACTATCAAAGGAATAAATATGAAAAGTTACGGCAACCAATTCCCAAAAACTGATAAAAATTTTTGTGTTGAACTGAACGTGGTTTACTTTACCAAAGTATTCAGCCAATTTAATTTAAATTTTAAGTTGACTTTTATTCTCAAAAAATATTTTATACAATACTTACCGCAATGATACGAGGTTGATGCTGAATTATTGGATCTCACAGAAATGTAATACGGCTGACAATGATGAATAAAACCTGCATCACCACATGTAAGTTCAATTACATGTCTACTATTACTGTTTATAGTTGGACATTTGGATTCATCAATTTTTGTACTATTTGAGTACAATGGCTGTCGAGATTCACAAATTGTCAATTGACCATAGGACAATCCTTCAATCTAAAAATAAATTTACAAAAATTTTTTTAATTAGGAAAAACAATAGTTATGTAATTATTTGCCAAATTTAATGTCACCAATTTGAAAATAATTTATCCTCTTTTTTTTTTAATTATAGACTTACAATCACTTTAGGAGTTGTGTCTGAAGTGTAAAAATAATTGGGATGAATTCTGTAAAATTTGGTTCCACGAGGTTCTACAGAGTCGACAAATCTTTCCAATTGTCCTTGAGAGTTATAACGTGATCCACATTTTGAATTGACGAGACGTCTCGGAACTGTAAAGAAGAATATATAATTTTTTTTTTTTTTTGAAAAAAGGTATGAGGAATTTAAATATTTAGAAAATTTAATTTTTGTTTCTAACTTACATTCTCTAAGTCTTGAAATCAAAGAATCAATTGGATATAAATTGGAACTTGAAGGTGATGATGAAATTACAAATACATCTTCATGTTTCGCATAATATGTTCCCATTTCTTTTCTTCCTGCCGTTAAAAAGAGAACTGAAGCATCTGAAAAATAATTTTTTTTTAAAAATTATTATTTAAATCGATAAAGAAAAATATATTATAAATTTTATTAAATTTTTACCGGGAATTTCTAAATGCATATTTTGCATTATTCCATTGACACATTCTTTTATACGATCATCTTCCGATGAACTTACATATGGAACAAATAAAATAGCATCCATATTGCCTCCACCAATTCTTTGATATTGTTCTCTGTCCAATTTTTCTTTGAGCATACGTTCAACTATTTCAATCGATCGACACATATCAAATCCTTTTTCGACTGGAAATTAACAAAAAAAAAAAATGTTTTTTAAATCAAACTGAGAAAATGATTTTTTTTTTAAATTAATTTAAATTTCTGAAAATAAATTTAAAACAAAAAATATTCATACATTTTTCATAATTCGATGCATTAAAATTGTATAAATCCAAAATTGTGTTGCTTGAGTTAATCATAATATTTCCACTTTTGCCACTTATTAGAGTAAAATTACTATTGTATTTCATTACTTCAATACCTTCTAGGAGTTTTCTGGAAAAAAATTTATTTTTTAATTTCAATTGTCAAATCGATAATTTTTAATTTTTAATAATAATAATAAATTATTTAGCAATACTTACGAAAGAATGGGTTGAATATATTTAAATGGCCAATTAGTATCGAGAACAATAGTCAAATCAACGTATGTTCTGCTAAAATCATTTTGACGATCCGTATCAGCACAAGAAAGATCGTCTTTTAATATTGTTGCTATTTGCAAAAAAAAAAAAAATGCATTTTCAATTCAAATTTATTAAAAATTAATTTAATTATTCTATTTAAATTGGAATTAATTAATTATATTGTATTTATTAATTACCAAGGTCATTTACAACTTGACGGACAGCCATTTTACTAAAGTTTCGAAGCGTATTATCATCCATTGTTAACGAAGGCAAGTCTTTCATTATCTTCATTGCGCTGTAGGTCTAAATGTAAAAAATTTTCATTTAAATTTATGTTTTAATTTTTATTTTACTATTACACACTGAAAAGCAACTAAACGCTATTAAAAAAAATTTAATTTGATAAAAATTCTAAATAAAATTCTTTTAAACTAAATTTAGTCAAAAATCCTTATTGAATTTAATAAAAAATTTCTTTTTAATTGAATTTTCTTATGGCAAAAATTTGCGTTTAATCGCGAATTTTCATATTCTCAGTATAAATCGAGTTAAGAGAATTTTTTTACATGCAAAAAATTAGCAACGTTATTTTGTTTTTTTTTTTTTTTGAAAAAATAATTATTGTGCTGTGTTGCAAAAATTTTTTTTTGAAAAAATAATAATTAGGACTCGAATTTCAAAAAAAGAAACATTTTTAAAGCAAGATCAGAACTAAAAGAAATATTCAAATATAAAAAAAAAAAAAAATTTGTACTAATTGTTACTTTTAGTAATAAAAATATTTCAAAACAATTCAATTTTGAAATTCAAAAAAAAAAAAAAAAAACACTAGAAAATTTCAAAAATTATTATTTTTCAAAAGTTTATAATTGCACAAAAAAGTAAAATTACCTGCTCTTCTAATGTTTCGGTATTTGGCATTAATTTTGCGAACATTTCTTTTCGATTACAAGCTCTCACTGGTGGATTAAGTGAACCTCGAGAACTGTAATACATATCTAATACTTGAGAAAGACGAATTCTCTGTTTGTCCTCTGTACTCCATATATTGAATTCAAGTGCCATTATCAGACCATCTATGTCTCCTCTTAACAATGGTCTTGTTAATTCAATATTTTCATTAGAATCTAAGAAAAACCATCGAGGTAATTCAGATGAATTCCATTTGCCATTTGTTCCAAATACAAAAGGTTGTTGATTAAACATTTTTGGTGCTTGAAGCCAAAATGCTGCTGCTAAATCACCTGTTTATCAATTTAATAATTAATTAATTTATTATTATTAATAAAATTATTATTTCAGCTGAAGAAATCAAATTAAAAAAAAAATTTTCTAATTATTTTTTTTGAAATAATTAAATTAATTTTTTTTCAATATCAAGTTCGATAGTTATTCGCCTTTTTGATTGGTAAAATGTGTTTTTGAAAAAAAAATTTTTTTTGACCAAAAAAAAATAAAAATGGAAAACAACTTTTTGTTATAAAAAAAAAGAATCGTGCGTTTTACACTCAAAAAAAGAGAATTTATTTTTAAAATATTTTAAATGCAAAAAAATTGTCTTTTTGAATTTAGTGAAAATTATTATTGAAAAATTTATATTTAAAAATAGTAGGATAATGATAATTTATTGAAAATTATTTAGTACTCTTTGTACCTGATAAAGTGGCAAACCACTTGTTATTAATTTTTGGAGTTCCTTCGAAATATTCTGGTCCAAAATTTGTGTCAGTCATTAGTTGACTGATACTAATTAATTGTGGCTGCATTCCAGCGGCTATTGCTGCAATGAGCGGTCCAGCAGAAACATCACCCCATCTATAAATAAATTAAAAAACAATCAATGGCTATATATAATAAAAAATAAAAAAAAATAATTTTTATTTTTTTAGTTACAAATGAATACCATATTCTGTCTTAAAATTATAAATTTCAAATTTCGCTTACTTCGAAATTCTCAAAACAGAATTTTTATTTTCAACTACATATTTTTTTTCTTTATAAATAAGTATAGAGAATTAATATTGAATTGAATTTTCACATTTGTTTTTTCTTCTTTCTGTTGAATGAAAATTCAACAAAATAAAAATTCAATCAAATTTAAATTTGATTCTATGGAAATTTATATATTAAATAAAAGTGCTGATTAATAAATTCAATATTTGTTTGAAATTTCTAAAAAAAAAAAAAAACAATTTCAGTAAATAAAAGTATTACCAAAATTTTAAATTCAAAATTACATAAAATTCAATTACTTATAAAAATTTTAATTTAAAACCTTCTAAAATTTTCCATCTAAAACTTTCTGAAATTTAATTATTTCGAAAAATTTCAATTACAACTCTTTTAAAATTCAATTATTTAAAAAAAATATTATTTGAAATTAATTGTTAAATTTATCTCAACCAATAATTTTCATCGAAATTCCTTTTAAAAATTGAATTATTTAAAAATTCTGTAAAATTTTTATTATTGTCTCAAATTTTAAAAATTCTTGAAAAATTAAAATTTTCGAAAACTTAAGTTTAATTCTAAAATATTCGAAATAAATTTTCTTGATAATAATCCTATAGAATTATTCTTATTAAGGAATTAATAAAATTAATTTAATATCTAATAATAATAAAAGTTATTTGAAATAAAATACTTATTAAATTCTTATTAAGAAATTGATAAAATTAATTTAATATCTAATAATAATAAAATATTTATTAACTAATTAAATATTTTATTAGAAATAAAAAATCGACTTTTTCGTTTTTTCTTGGAATATAAATCGACTAAAACGATTTTTTTTTTGCGTCTTAAAGTCGATCCAAGGTCTGTCAATTAAAAAATTTATTTTACAAAAATTTATTAAATTTGAAAAAAATGTGACATAAAAAATACGAATAAGTAGAAATACTGTTAAATAAAAATTTTCATGAAAGTTTGGTTCAATTTTTTAATTTTATTTATTTATTTTTTTGAAAAATTCAATTAATTTTAAATTATTAATAGATAGTTTATAATTTAATTAATTACTAATAGTTAGAAATAATTAAAATTTTATTAATAAACAACATTAAAAAATTTACCTAGTTTTTATAACTCCATTGTAAACTGGACAGGAACTAAAATGTTTTTCTGTTATATATTGTGCAACCGCAGGATGATTTGGGGGATATTCCGGATAAAAAGAATTGGGATCAACGCCAGTATCCTCATCCTGTTTAGTATTCGTCATACTTTGGCTAAAATATATAAAATATTATTATACTTCTTTTTTATTATATAAATGCTCCATGTAATTTTTTTTATTTAAAAAAATTATAGAATTGTGAAACAAAAAAAAGAATCTATTTTTAATTTCACTTTTTTTTTCTTTTCAATGCTTTTTTGAAAAATAAAAATAAAAACAATAACATAAATCTTTGTTTTATAATTGAGAATGAAATTTAATTGTTTAAAAAGAAAAAAGGTTGATAAATATAATAAAATTTATTTTATAATTACATTTCCTGAGGTGAGAGCATTTCAACATCATCATTTTCACCTTCTTTAATATTCTGGGATTTCTTATCAATACTTCTTGGAAATCGATAGGCGTTGTCATAATTTCTATTACAATTCACATCATCTCTTTTTTCTAGTTCCACAATGTCTGACAGCATAAAATGCAATGTGCACTAAAATAATTTGATTTAATTTATTTATTTCAGAATGAATTTTTTTTTTTCTATTTTATTTTTTCAAAACATGATCCCAAAAAAAATTGATGAGAAAAGTTTTTATTAAAAGAAACGTTAATATAGTATCTAGCAAAAATTTATAGTTGAAGAATTGATTTGTTGTGAAACAAATTTTTAATTTATAAATTATTTTTTTTAATTTAAATAAAAAATTAAATAAAAATAAATTAGAAAATTGTATATAATAAACACAAAATAAAAAAGTATATAATTAAAAAATTAAAAAAAAAAAACATTTTTAAATAGAAAAAATTTTTCTGAAATGTTTTAGGAATATCCGGATTTATTTGTTTAATTTAGAAATATTCTTACTCTTTCTATGTTAGAAATACTGTTATTTGGAAATGTCATTGCATCACCGGCAATAACTCTCAGTAATTTTACAAAACGACTAAATTTTTCGTGTTTTGCTGCATAGGGAATAACATTATTTGAAGTAACTGTCGTTTCCAAACGTTTAATGCCATCCTGACGAAATCTAATTAAAAAAATTTTTAATTAAATATAAATAAATTATTATCATTAATCCTAATTAATAAAAATTTAAAAAAAAATAAAGAAAAAATTAAAAAATTAAATTACCTAATTAAATTAATTTTTAATTAAAAAATTAAAAAGTTACAACTTTTTATAATTATAAAAAAAAAACCATTTTAAAACTTTTTTTTTGATTTTTATTTATTTGTTCATTAACAAATCTATATTACCTCCTTATTTTTGTCACTTTTTACTAATTTAAACGAAAATAAATTTTTTTTTTTAATCTATTATTATTATTTGCTAATTATAGATTTTATTTCAAAAAAAAAAAATTACCCATGCAAAAGAGCCTGTGAAAGAGCAGTTAATGTTCTCATTGTTGAACCTGGTGAATCTTCAATTTTTCGTAAAATTTCGATTAACGTAATCATATTGTGTGGTAATCTATTATCTCGTGTTAAAAGATATGATTTATTGTAACATTCACGAATTGAAGGTATAATTAAGATGTTAAATGAATCATCCACCGCATTTACAGCTGAAAATAATTTTTTTTTTTTACATTTTTTAATTACAAAAAATTTAAAACGTTACACTAAAAAAAAAAAAAAAATTTATCTGATTCAAATACACGATTACTCGACTATTATCAAATAATTATTATTGGAGATGGTATTTGTTTCAAATACAAAAATTAATTAGTTCAAATAAAAATTATTTGATTCAATTAAATATTTATTTGATAATAATCAAGTATAATCGAGTTTTTGAAACAAATATACATTTTTTTTCAGTAGTAAATATAAAAATATAATTTTATTATTTTGATAATAATATTGTTTCTTGACAAAAAATAATAATTTTTAATTAAAATTAATTTTCTTCGTAAAATAATTTTTTTTTTTTGTTTTTGCCGAGAAACAATAATTTTTAATTAAAAAAAATAATTTTCATCGTAAAATAATTTTTTTTTACTCACCAACGAAACTGACAGCAGTTATGAACAAGAATAAATAATTTGCCATTTTTCAAAAAAAATTAATTAATTTCACTAGAATTGAATTTTTCACTTTTTAAAACTGAATTCACTGTTTTATCATAATACAAATTTTTTTTTATCATTCAATATTATTATTGATGATGAATGATTAAAATTAGAAAATTTTGGGTGATAATTTTTTTTTTCCTATTTTAAACTCTGGGTAAAGAAAAAAAACATTTTCGAGCACTTTTTTTTCTTTTTAGGGAGAGAAAAAAGAATCTTTAAAAGTTCGTTTCTGAAGTGAAGAAAATGACTAATGATTAATGAGGTGATGGAGTGAAAAACCATTTACCACACCTTCCATCCGACACACAAGAACCTACCATCCCTATCGTGAGATAAGATACCTTATCTCATGAGTAACATATTTCTCACCTATGACCAGAAAAAGGATTTAAAATTTTGATTGAGTTAATTGTTTTGTTTAAATTAATTGGATTCTGATTTTTTTATGGAGGAAATTTTTATCAAAATAAATTATATTTTGTTTTATATTTCTGTTTCAGATTTTCGTCACATTTAAATATCATTTTCTTTCGCTCATGCACCTCTTATAGTATAACAATCGATATTGTTAAAAATACACATTTGATTCATTTTTTGTCAATTTTATTATATAGATGAGTTGGATGAATCATTGTCAACGAGTTATAATTAACGTTAAATGATTAAGATCTGTTTGGAAATAATATTATTAAATTGTAAATTATTATATTCTGCACATTTGGTATAAATTAGGTGAGTGTTATTTATTTTCTACAATTTTGTTTTGAAAATTTTTTCTTTTTTTTTTTTATTTGCTTATGAAATATTAAATTTTTTTCTCTCTGTTTGTTAAAATTTGTATTTTTTATTTATTTATTAAAATTTGTTTATAGAAATTTATTTATTAAAATTTGGATATTAAAAATTTATTTATTTTATTTATTTGCTACCATTTTTTTTTTTGTGAAATATTAATTTTATTTTTCTTCGTTTAAATTTGTTTATGAAATTTGTATTTTCTATTTATTTATTCAAATTTGCTTATTGAAAAATTATTTTTTTTATTTATTTAATTAAAATTAGAAAAAAATTTGTAAATAAAATTATTTATATTTAATGATAAATTAGGTAACAGTAGAAATTCCCCAATATTTGTTGTGATAAATTAAAAATGTGAAATACTATTTTTATTGAAAATGTCCTGCATTCTAGAAATATAGTGAAATTGTTATTGTAATACATAGTAATTGGGACAATTTACACCTTTCACAGGTTGTGGATTATCTTATCACGCATAGTGGACCGTTATCTTCTTCTTTCAATCTTGGTAACTTTTTAGTGTGAGTCATTTGAAAATATATGTATTTACAGTAAAAAAAAAAAAAATGAACTTACAGTTGTCTGTGACAGAAAGTTGAAAATGTCATAATACTCCAGAATGAAAATAATTTGCTTTTTATTTTTAACATTCTATGGTAAGTTATTAAAAATTATTTTTTATTTTTTGAGTTTCTATATATAGGTACTTTTATTAGTCACTATTTTTTTTTATTTATTATTAAATAGTTTTATTCTATTATTAAATAATTCATTTTATTTATGAATTTTGTATTTATTATAGTTTAAGGATTAATTAATTTTGAATTATTTTTTAGGCATTTGTATTGTGATATCAAATAAGCAAATTCCTGATCACTTAATAAAATGTTACAAAAACGAAAATATATGGGACTCACAATTACCTTTAAATTTAAGGGTAATTATTGATATTATCAGAAAAGTTGAAAGACAATCTTTTTCAACTTCACACATTAAAACATTGACAACTTTATTATTACGACGGTAATTACACATTTTTCTAATGTAAAATAGTGACAAAACATTTTTTTTTTTTAATAGAAAGAAACGTTTTTTCAATTCTAATTTCTATAATTTAAAAATATTCTTTTAATCTATTTTCTAAAGTAAAAAAATAGTTCGAAAAATTGTAACTAATTTCACTGTTAGTGATAAATTCAAAAAATTTTAAACATCGTTAAATTAATTTTTTTGCTTTTAATAAATTTTTAATAGAAAAAAATAATTATTTATTTATTTATTTATTCAAATATATGGAAAATTTACAAAATTTTCTAATGAAAAACTGTATGCCTACATATTTTTTATTTTTTAGATTCAAATTAGATGGAATTCATCATAATGATAAAATTTCTCCATCCAATGGTATTTTACCATTTATTGCAAGTCAATCGCAAAGAATAAAACAAAAAATAATCGAGGAATTAATTCCTGACGAATCAAAGGCATTATTGACAATTGAAAATCTCACATTATTAGAATATTGCACTTTACATCAGGCAATTTCCAATACTATTTGGTATAATCAACGTAAAAATGAAAATAATTTTTGTATCTCTGGACCCTTTGAGAAAATTGTCAACGATATTAATAAAAAAATTCATGATTGTTATTTATTGTCAATATATTCACGAAATATGATGGAAAATTGCATTGCCAGACATATAATTACTGAGGTAAAATTTTGTCCAAAAGAAAATGGTGTTATTTTGACACAATTTGGCACAATTTCATTGGGCAGTGTGATTAATGCAATTGCAGCATCACTTGCACCGCAAAAAATTGAGCTCGACGAATTACTTTCGTTAAACAATCAAAAGTATTCAAGTAAGAGTTTTGTTTATTAAAAAAAGAATATTAATTTTTTTTTAACAATTTCAAAACTTGCATTATACGACTTTTTTCGAATTATTTTTAATAAAATGCGACTTTTTCGACTTCTTTTTTTTACATTTTTTTTAACAAAATTTTTAAATAAAATACGTTTTTTTTATTTATTTATTTATTTATTTAGGAATTACAGAATTACATTTTTTTAAGTATATATAATGCTAATTCTTCAGATCTTCTTTATTTCAATTATTTAACAAATTTGTAATTAAAATTTTTCTCTAAATTAAATTAAATTAATTAAAGATAATGAAATTTTTTTCCAAATACAATTATCTTAAACTATTTTACAATTAAAAATTTTATGAAATTCAACAATTTCAAAAAAATTGTTTAAAATCAAATAAAATTACCAAAAATTTTCAATTCAAAATCACTTGAAATTCAATTATTTTCGAAAATTTCAATTTAAAACCTTCTAAAATTTTCCATCTAAAATTTTTTGAAATTTAATAAATTCAATTATAACTCTCCTAAAATTCAATTATTTTTAATTATTTTTATAATATTTTTCGAAAATTCAATTATCTTAAACTACTTTTCAATTTAAAATTTTATAAAATTCAATATCTGAAAGCATTTTTCAATTAAAAACTTTTAAAGTTCAATTTTTGTCTGTAATTTTTAATAATTTCTTTAGTAACAGTAATAGAAAAAAAAATTTCAATTAAAAATCACTTTTGAAGTTCAATTATTTTCAAAAATCTGAATGGTAAATTTTTAAAAATTCAATTTTATTTTAAAAAATGTTATCTAAAATTATTTAATAAATTATTTCCTATTTTGTAAAATTTAATTATTGTCTTTAACAAAATCTTTTTGTAATTTAATTATTTCTAAAAATTTTAACTGTAACTCTTCCAAAATTCAATTATTTTTTTAATAATTTTAATATTTCTTTAAAAATTCAATTATTTAAGAAAGTTTCAAATAGAAACTCCAAAATTAAATTATTATCAGAAATTAAAAAAAAAAAAAAAAAAAAAAACTAAAACAGTTTAAATTTGCAGAAAATTTATTTTACTTTTCAAATCTTATGCAATTTAATTATTTAAAAAAATCTTAATATAAAAATCTGTAAAAGTTAAATTACATATTGTCCGAAATTTTTTAGACCATTAAAACAAAAGATTATACAAAAATTTTAAATTTGAATAAATCGACTAAAACGATTTTTTTCGTATCCTAAAATCGATTCGAGGTCTGCAATTTTATAATAAATTTATCAAAAATAAAAAATTGTTAATTGACAAATTTACAAATAAAAAATACAAAAAAAAAAAAAAAAAAAAAAAAAACTAAAACAGTTTAAATTTGCAGAAAATTTATTTTACTTTTCAAATCTTATGCAATTTAATTATTTAAAAAAATCTTAATCTTAATCTTAAGTCACTTTTTTTCGTAATTCAGAACAAAAATTCTGAATCTCGTGATAGTTCGATAATTGTTTATTTTCTAGTTTTTATAACAAAAAAAAAAAAAGAAAAATAATAATAATAATTTTTTGCAGAGAATGAATCCAGTAACTTTAAATTCAATGAAGAAGAAGTTGATTTAATTGTACCGAAAGATCAAATAATGTTACAACGATCAATGTGGATGCAATCACTTTCTCTATCGCCATTGAAAGTGGATAATATTTGGGCTGCTTCACTTGCAGGTATTGTTAAATAAAAAAAATAAAAAAGACAGGATCATTATTTTTTGACCAAGTTCGTTGCGGTCTAATTTTAAAAGAATTTTGTTAATTTGTTGGAATTTTCAAATGACAGAATTTTATTACATATTATTTACTTTAAGTCAAATTTTTATTCAACAGAAATTAGTAATTATTATTTTTATATTAATTATTTGATATATTTATTAATCGAATATTGCTTATTAAATTTCGTATAATTTTTTTTTTGCTTTGTTTTTTTTTAGGCGAATTAGCCGAGGTTGTGGTTTATCAAGGACCAATTTTTGCATCATCAATGTCAATTGGCGCAACGGGATTTTGGAATAGTTCAATAAGTCCTTCTATATTTTATTTGTCTAATAAACGTGGAATTTTCGATGCAACGAGAGCGGAAATAATTGGAAGTATCGATGGTTTGATAATTGCTAAAAATTTGCCAATGTGGATGGAAAATTTCAATAGTCTTCGATTGAGTCAAATTTTAGACATGTATTATTCTAATCGAGGAATTTCATTCAATAGAAATATAAAAGCCTGCGAGAGAGGACGAAATTTTATTCACATTGCACCTGGAACTATTATAGAAGAAGAGGTAATTTAAATAATTTTCATTATTATTTTCCACCACACTTATTTTATACACTTCAATTCAATTTTACAAAAGTTAATAGCAAATATTAAATTTCAATTTTCTTTCTCGTTATAATAAAATAATTAATAATAATAATAATAATTATTATTATTATTAGGGTCAGAATTTCTCTAACGGATCACCTAAAATTCAGAAATTTTTTTTTTTAATCAAAAATCATTTCTTTTGACTCCTTACATGGTAAAAATGAGTCCCTGAAATTTTTAGGTCAAAAAAAAATTTTTTGTTAAAGTTATAAACAATTGAAATTTTTTGCAGTCTTATTTTAAAAAATTTTTTTCTCGACTTCCTGTTCACCAATTAAAAAAAAAAAAGGGTTTTTCTCGTCTTAAAATGTAGTTTCTAAATATAATTTTTATTTTGAAAAAATTTCATATTTAATAGATTTTTATATTATTTATTTATAAAATGTTATTAAAAAATAGTGTTCTTGACGTCCTACAGAAAATTAAATTTTTTTTTTTAATTCCCCACACAATTTTGTGTAAGAAACCGTTGAGAAAATAAAATGAGACTAAAAAAAAATTTCTGAACTTTAGGTGATCCGTTTGAGAAATTCTGACCCATTATTATTTTTAAATTTGTAATTATGATAGTTGGTAATAATAATAAATTATTATTACTAATAATTGCAATTAATTACAATAATTAACTTATGATAACATTTTTTTTTATAAATTTTAAGCCCTTTTAAGTTGCATTTTAATAAAAAAAAAATACAATTTTCTGTTGTAAAAAATTGTAATAGACCTTTTCATGCTGGTCGTTCTGTCCTTATCTAGCGCATACAATGACGCATGAGTTGGAAGAAGACAGAATGATCAGCATGAAAAGGTCTATTTAAATAATTAAAATAGAAAATAGGAAAATAGGAAACGAATTAGGTAACTAAATTTGACAAATTAGGATATTAATAAAATTTTATGCTTTTATAGAAAATACTTTTATAAAATTTGATATTTATTTTATTTCCGTGCATTGAATTTATTTTTAAGATTATATTTATGTAAAATTATTTTTTTCATTTTGAAGATAGGTAAAAGTAAATTTAAAAAAAAACTTTTTTTTATCCAATATGCACGATAAACGCTACATTCCATGCTTTGTATAGCGGGTGGAAAGTAAAATTTTTCCACCTTTCGTTATTTAGAACATATTTGCAGTAAAGTATTAATATTATATTTAAATTTATTTAATGCTATGAATTATTATTATAATTTGTTATTATTTACAAAATTTTTCATTTTAAAATTGCAAGTATTTTTTGCAAATTAATTTCTTTCCTATTAGTGTATAGAACGAATGACTAACGCCATCTTACATTTTCAACAAAAACTGCCGGAACGATTAGATTTCGATTCACATCCAACTTCACATTTCATCTGTGAAGAGTGTTCAATATACATGTAGATTCGCGTGTATTATTTTCTAATTAATATTTTCATTATCTTTAAATATTCATTACTTCTTATTATTTAGAGGTATGTTTTATTTTAGCATTTTGTTTATCGTGCAATTAGTTAAAATGCATCGCGTGTGTAACTCGAGTGAAATTAATACCATCGGTTCGATTGTGCGTGCGACAAACTTTGCACTCGTTCAGAAATTGTCAACTTTTCGTGTTTTTGTCATTTAGTATATTATTTTCATTTATTTATTTCAGTTATTTAATAAATTGTTCGAAATTTGACTAGAATAATAACAATAGTATACTTTATTGTGCCAATTTTTTTGGGCCACATATTTTCTTCTTTATACGAACACCGTGATTGTTAGGTCACGTGACCGCCGCAATGTGAATATTTTCAATCACTTTTCTCGTAAAATACCAAATGGATTGAACTGCATTTTTGTGAAAAAGTCAAAAATATTATAAGGAAGGGCAGTGATTTGCAAAAGTGTTATGATAATTGTTAGAAAATTTGAGGTTAGGATAAACCTCATTGTACGGATTTTCGGGATTTTTCAATAACATTACAGTGCGATCACTGGACCTATCAATCACAATAATAATAATAATAATAAATAAAATAAATAAATTAGTTAATAAATGAAAAATAACATATTAATTTTGTAGACTTTTGCATTTTCTAAACTATTGGCTTTTCGCAATGGTGATGCTTATATGAGTGATGTGATTTTACAAAGATTTGTGAATTATGCGACAAGTACATTTTCGTATTATGTGAATAATCACATTTTCACTGAATCGAGATGTCGCGAGGTAATTCGTCAACCACGAGTTGAACTTTTTGTCACGTTTGATGGCTCTTGGTCACCAGAATACACCATTGATTTCTTATCGTGAGTTAAAATTTAAAAAAAAAAAAAACAAAAATATTTACAAAAGACACGTTAGATTTGTCTCTCAGACGATTTTTTTTCTATAATTTTACAGCTTTGTAGTTCTTGTAATTCAAAAAAAAAAAAAAAAAAAAAAAAAAAGAAACTAATTCTAAAATTACAAACAAAAACGACGAAAAGACAAATCTAATTAATTTAATTTTTTTTTTAAATTAATATTTTAAGTTTTATATAATTTTTTTTTTTGCAAGGGTTTTGGTGGAAGATGTCGACATTTCATTATTTGGGTCAAAAATGGGATTGATTGATGCAACAAGTGGCAATTGGTTGTTTAATGTTACCAATAGTCCGGCTACAGTTTATGAAAATTTACGTAATTTAACAAAAATGAAATGTAAGAAATTTTTTGAAATTTTATTTGGGTCAATCCATTGAAAATCATCTGAGAATTGTTGAGGATATATATTTTTTTTTTTTGCAACTCTATAGTTTTAAACATTTTTTCGTTGAAAATAAAATTTCACATTCTTTGGAAATTTGTATTTTTTTTTTTGGAAGCTTCAAAAAATTTGTGGTTTTACAATTATTTTTTTAATATAATTTATGTGATATTAAAATTTGAAGAAAGGTATTTTTCTTCGTTTTGGACATAATATGAAATTTGAAATTTTTTTTACATGAAAGAATTAATTATTGGACTTTAAATTAAGAAAATAATTTTACATCTCTGTTTTTTTATAAGAATAGAGAAATCAAGTCATGAACATTCTATTTTTTATTAATATAATATCATCAAGGAAATAAAATTTATTTGATAATATTACGATCAATGAAGTTAGAAATTTATCGAGTTTCACAAATATATTAAGTAAGATTAATCGCCAACAGAATCACATAGATTTTAAGAAAATATGAATTTTCTATTTTTTAAATAAAAATAGTCAAATATTAAAATTTTCTTTTTTTAAACACCCAGTTTTTTTATTAGAATCCAAATGATGCAAGAAAAAAAAATCTAATTTCCATGAGCCAAAAGTTTTGAACATTCAAAAGTGAACAAAATATTTTTTTCAATTTATAAATTATTAAAAATTATAATGTCAATGTAAAATGAAATAATAAATTAAATATCTTGTTTTTAGATATGTAAAACAATTTTTTGTAATAATATTCGTACTTAAAGAAGTTGCAAAAAAAATTTCGTTTATTTGAACGTTCAAAATTTTTTTGGCTCATTAATTTCCTTCGATCTTCAAAATTTAAAGACTCAAAATAAAATGACTCTTAAAATAATAATTATTATTAAAACTTAAAAGTCTCTGCTGAACAAAAAAAATTTTTTTTTATACATTCAAGGTTCAATCAAATGATTATGACTTATTATTGATTTATCGTTATAATTTAAAAAAAATATTTTCATAATTTCTATGCCGAAAGTTGACCTTGAAAAAAAATTATTTTGAATCTTGAAAAATCCTTGAGTTTTTTTTTTTTCAAGAATCGCTGGCCACTCTAAATTATATAATTTAACTTAATTTATATTTATTAGGGCCTGAAAGATTAAATTACACAGCAATACTTAAAACTGTTTTTGAAAATTTGGAAATTACTTGGGAAAAGAATAAAGAATTGTTCAAAATTGGAAATGTAGGACAGGCTCTTCTTGTGCTTGCTCCACGAATACAATTAAATGAAAATGATGAACAAACAGCTTTGAATCTCATTATGAAAATTAAACAAAAACATCCAGGTAAGTGTTTGTTTATATAAAATATAAATAAAATGTTTAATACATTAGATTAAAAATTTGATTTTTCATATATTTTAACTTACATAATTTTAATTTCAACAAAATTTCAGAAATGCATTTCCTTTATTTTGTACTTGACGGAAATATCGATATTTTTCGAAAATTTATTATTTCTGATGAAGATCATTTAATTTCAAGTTCCACTATTGATGACATTACAAAACATCTTTCGGAAAGTAAATTAAATTATAAATATAAAAAAAAAAATAATAATTATGAATTTATATTGAGTGAATTTTTTTTTAATTAAAAATTTTTAAGTTCCAGTCACTTTAAGACCTGTTTTTGGTAACAATAATACTCTAGGATTTGGAAAAATGCAAATTGAAGATTATATTAGTCCAGAAGAATTGATTACTTATAAATTACATTCACACTGGAAATCGAACGTGAAGAAAACAACATTGATAGTAATGTTAATAAATTTTATACTTTATTATTATTTTTATTATTTTGTTATAGTATTTTCATTTTCATTTTTTTTTCAGTTTCACGGAGTTGGTTATGGAACAATAAAAATTTGCTTCAGAACAAAATGGAAAGTTGATGATTTGCAAAAAGAATCAAATTGTCAATTATTGTCGAGCTTTGAAGATATTAAATTTGAAGATTTTTCCCCATGTTCCTGGAACAATTGTTCTCATCTCTACTATGAGGTTCAATATCAGAAATCTTTAATGAAATGTGCAGGTGAGATTTACATATTTAAATGAAGAAATAAAACATTTTATATCGAGAAATAATGTAATTGTTAAAATTAATATTGATTTTTTTTTTAAATGTAACAATTATTTTTTTACTTTTTGTGTTTTTTAAAAAAATTTATTCCATATTAATAGATTAATAATTAATTTTATAAATAATAAAAATTATTATCAATATTACCTTCTTAAAAAGTAAAATAAAAAAAAAATTATTAACATTAATTATAAAAATTATATTATTTCTTTTTCAGAAATTGATTGCAAAACTCCAAATCAAGTAAGATTCATATTACAAATAGAAAATGCATTATCTTCAAAGTGTCAGAAAATTGTCTTCAATTTCAATTTCGTAATTATTACTATATTAGTTATATTTCATTTTCATTTTTTTTTAACAAGATTTTTTCTTTTACTATGATGAGAATGTAAAAAGAGAAAACACATTTTAGATAGAAAAAAATATACTGACAATTTATTATATTTATATTGTTAGAATAATTTCCGTTTCTTAATTGAAAATAAGTTAGGTATATAATTTTTATAAAATAAGACACATAGTATTACATTTTTTTTTACATTCTCGATGGTACAAAAAAAATTTTTTTTTTTTATGATAAATATGCATGTGTTTAAAAAAATAGTAATATAATAAAAATGCATGTATTCGGTGATAAATAATTAAAAATTTTTTTTAAATTTCTTACAAAATATTTGATTTTAAATAATCAATAATCAACAGTGATCTTCGGTATTCTCTTCAATCGATTATACAACATTTTTATAAAAAAGTTGAATCTTACAGTTATAATGTTTCAGAAATTTCGGCTTCAAATCTTCTTATGTCTGAAACAAAATAATATTTCAACTATAGATGAAAAGTAATTATGCTTTTACAAACATTTTATTTGTTTATTTATTAATAATAAGAATAAATTATTATTAATAATAATTAAAATAATAATAATAATCAAAATAAATGATTTAATATAAGGGTAGCCACAAATCAAGGAAAAGTAAAAATAACAGTTGGTCGTGTCACGGGTTCTCTGGTGGTTTTTCTACTGTGTTTTCATGAAACTGATTCACATAATTTAATTGAATTTTATTTTATTAAAATTTTAATCAATTCAAATATAAATTTGTTAAATATAAATTTTAATTTAAATTTTAAGTGATCCAACTTTCCATTAATTCTATTTTTCTTGGTCAAAACAAATTTATTTATTAAAATTTTAATTAAAAATGTCAATTCAATCGTTCGAAACTTAAAATTAAAGAAATTTCAATCTATCTGTAAAGATTAATCGATTTAAGCTTCAAATTATCCGAATTTTAATTTATCCAAATTTTAATTAATTTTTCAAATTATCTGAATTTTAATCTATCCAATTTTAAATTTAAATAAATTTTAAATAATTCGAAATTTAATAATTATGTATAAATTTCAAATCATTAATGTTTAAAATTAACCGAATTTCAATTTATTCAATTTTTGATTGATTTATTATTTTTTAATTTATTTAAAATTCAATTTACACAAATTTTAAGTTATTATTGCTTATTTCATTGATGAAAAATTTGAATAGATAAAAATGAGTTATTTTGCAAATTAAGTAATTTTATTTATCAGTTTTTTTATTATCTTTTTGTCAGCACCATTTTTTTCACTTATTTTTCAAGAAAAAAAGGTACTGTAATCCTTACTCTAGTAAAAAAAGTCGAGACACGTCTTTTTAACTTTAATTTTCTTTTATTTTCAATTTCTTGATTTCTTTTAAAATTCAAAAAATATTTTATCGTTTCAACTTCAAATAAAGTAAATTATTTATTAATACGAATAATTTATTATTTAATGCTAAATAATTTCTATTTAACAAAATTGTATAAAGTGGATTTTATATTATGCAAAATTTTCAATTTACATTTAACTAAAATTGGATTTAAAAAATTTCTATTTACCAGAAGTCTTATAAAGTATTTTTTCTAATACTTTTTAAAAATGTTTAATTAATATAATTTCAATTTAACGAAATTTATGTCTATAAAAATTGATAGAAAAAGAATTAAGTAGAATTTGTCTTAAATGAGAATTCTGTTAAGGTTATGTGGGAACCTCCCACGTGACCTAGTATGGGAAAATGTGTTTTGGTAGTATACGTTTCACTCTAAAATGAGAAAAGATTTTTGTCTAAAATTTTGAGAGATCATAGATTAGAGTACAAGGAATCTCGCTGTTCTCCGAAAAATACATAATTTTGAGTAAAATTATTAAAAAATGAAGTTTAAAAAGTGTCATTTTTAAACCAGTAAACAGCGCCAATTCGAGCTTTTGGCCGCTGAATGAACTATGATATAATACATTATTTTACTATTTATTGCTTTATTTTTATTATTTTTACGTTAAGTTATGGTAAATGAGTAGAACAGCGAGATTCCTTGTACCAAACAAAATCATTTCTCCAAAAATTTTAACCCAAAATCATTTTTTATTTCAGAATAAGTTTCAAACCACAAAAAAACGTCCTTTGCCCACATACCATTAAATAAGAATTAGTTCGAATTAAAAGTTTCTTTAATAAAAACTTTGTTAATTAAGAATTTTGTTAAATAGAAATTCTGATATTTTGGATTTATTCAATGACAATTCTGTTAAGTAAATATTTTGATAAATCGAAATTTTATTAAAATAACAATTTTATTAAAAAAAATTTTCTTGACATAAATTCCGTTAAATTGAAATTGTATTAATTTGAAATTCAATGTACTAGAAAATCTGCTTTATATAATTTTACTAAATAAAAATTTGATAATTTAAAATTTTGACGCCGTAAAAATTCCTTTAAATTAAATGTTGAGAATATTTATACGTCCCCAATTAGTTTATTTATTTCACTTAAATATTTTATTTTTCATGAAACATTATTTATTTGGTTCAAATACATATTAAATTAGTGGATAATAGAAAGGTAAATGATTTAATTGTATCAAAATAAATTTTATTTGATCAAAATAAAAAATTTTTTAGTGTAATTTAGGTCAGGGAAAAGTCAGGGAATTTTTTTTTCTAACAGTTTGTTAGACACCCTGTAAATATAACATTCCAATGATTATAAATTATAATAAATAATACAAAAACGAAATTATAAATATTAAATTTTATATACCTTAGATTGTTAATAAAAATTTGTTCTCAGGTAACTGTACAAAATCCGTCTTTTTTTAATTTGTTGTCATTGCAAATTTCGATATTAATGGAAGAACGTGATGATTGCTGTGATCTTCATTGTCTTCATGACCACCATGACCGGTATGATCAACATGATCACCGTGACCACCATGATTTTCCGAATCAACTACATGATTTTCAATTGAGAGGAAGAAAATCACACACCAGGTAATAAGAGCAATAATTAAAACAAGTGATGCTATTGTACTAAATTTATCCCATCCAAAAAGAATTTCCCTTGATGTTTTATAGTCTTTTATTTGATTACTACTGCAAGCACACGCGATATTCGAGGTTGAACATTTATTCATTTTAATTTCTAATTTTTATTATTTTTTTTTCTTATTAAAAAAAAAAAAATAAAAACACTTGATGACAAACTCTCACAGAGGTATAGTCGCACTCAACATTACTCTCTAAAATTACCACTTCGTCACGTGAAAAACATTATATTTTGTACAAAATGAATACTCGCATTGCATTCGATAAGATAAGACTTTATCAATAATACAGTGAGCTCTAATAATTTGATCGTTTACCTAATAGATAGAAAGTTAATTATCGAAATTAAAAAAAAAAAAATTAAAATTGTTTCTCTTACTATTTTTTATTATAAATATTTTTCTTTACATAATTATTATATAATATAAAAAATGCTAATTTTGAAAATTAAAATTGGATGGAAATTAGTTGTTTATATAAATTGAGGAAAAATCAGACAAACAATTAGAGAATAAAAGTTAGTAAAGGCTGTTTTCATATTTTTGAATTTTAAAATAAATAAGTAATTTACGCGGAAAGAAAATAAATATCAAATTTTATAAAATTATTTTTTAAATTTTGTAAAACTATTTCAATGCAATTATAAATAATTAAATTTTGTATATTTTCACCAATTAAAGGCAGGCAAATCTTTTCAGTCCGCTATTATTCGGGCTGTAAAGACCTAATTTTTTCCCTCTATACAAACACGGAATATCATATTGGAAAAAAATATATTTTTTTTTCTATTTCAAAAATACGAAAATATATAATTACACTAACTTTTGCTTTGACTGTCCGTTCAATTGTTCATTAAAGCAGAGTATATAGTTAACTTTAAATTATATACCCATATGTCAATTTTAAACAATTACATATAATAATCCTGAATATCTTTCGTTAATTAATTCTGTCCACACCTGAAGTTAGTATTTGTTATAGGTCTTTTGTTTTTTTTTAAATGTGTTGTTTGACATTATTTTATGTTGGTTAAAATTTTTCAATGTTTTGACATTGTCATTTGTGCGGTCGTATTTTAATTATTAAAAATTATAAAATTGTTAGAATCATGCAAAAAAATTGTGAGGATTGTGAGAAAAATTGATTCGATTGCTGTTAGAGTAAGCTGCATAAGTTGATGGTAAGTTTAATTTAAAATATATAATAATTTTATGAAATTTCAAAAATTTATTTAATTAATCACGATAATTTAATTAATTTTAAAAATAATAAAAAACATTTTATATTATTTATTTATTTATATTATATATTACAAATTAAATTTTTTTTCACAAAATATTTATTTATTTTTGTCATTATAATTAAAAAAATTTATATTATATATACATATAAATTTTTAATTTTGACTAAATATTAATTTTTTTTAATAATTTTTATTTAAAATAAAATTTAAATTATTATATTTTATATATATTTATATATGTTACATTAATTAATTAATTAGGAATATTGAATAATATATATTAAATATTAAATTTAAATTAAATAATTTATAAATAATTTATTTATTATTATATAATAATAAAAAATAAAAAATTTCATTTAATAACAAATATTTTTATTATTTTTTGGTTATAATTTTTTTTTGCAAAATATTTTTTTTTATTATAGGCAATTGAAAATTTATATATTTCATATAATAGATTAATAATAATAATTATTATTTATTATTATATAATAAAAAATAAAAAATTTTATTTAATGATAAATATTTTGATGATAAGAAATTTTTACAAGACCATTACCGATATATGTTATATTAAAAATTATCAATTTAAATTTTAAATCGAAAATTTTCTTGAAGAATTTCTGAAAAATTATCTACAGATATTTAAATATAAATTTTTATTAATTTTTTAAAAAGAGCAAATCACGCGTGCATGATTTTAGATGGTATTTTTGTTCCAAAATAATAAAATTATTTTCATTAATAAACATTCTGCCAGACATATAATAAGACTTAAAAATTTTCAATCAGATCATTAAAGAAAATTGAATGAAAACTAGTATTAAAACTTCACTCCGTAACATCAAATTTTTATTCAATTTTTTAATTTGATATTTGACCATTTTTTTAAATGTTTTTTTATTAATCTGACTAAAAATTGACTAATCTTAACTTATGGCTGACAGAATTTTTAAACATTGTATTATTAATTTTATTATTTTTAAACAAAATATCGTGAGAGCATAAATTGTTTTTTTTTTTTAGAAAATCACATACAAATATTTATTTCTAATCTTTCAAAAAGATCAACAAACGTTTTTTTTACAAATAATTAATTATTAAGATAAAATCATTTTTTCTACCTTTCATGTAATAAAACTTAATAAATAAAAATTATTATAAAATAATTTATTTTCTTAACGTTTTCAAAAATTAAATTTTTTAGAATCTTTGATAAAATAATTTCCTCGATATCATGTTTGAAAAATTATGGATTTATAAAAAAATAATTGAATTTATATATTTGAATATGTAAAATTTTGGTTAAAAATAAAGTTGTTTTTCTACAGATCCTCCTTATATTTCGATCAACGATGTCAGCGACATTAAAAAACTGGAAAAAAATGTGGACAATGAATATTTGCGCAGAAGAATTGAGAGAGTTAAAAAAATAAATAAAAATGAAGAAAAAGAAGATGATTCAGAAAAAAAAATTAAATTAAATTTAAAAAAAATTGATTATGTTAAATATTTAAGGAAGTTCTCTCCCTCCAACGTCAGTCAAATCAATGCCCATTTAAGTTTTCATTTGTATCACGTAGTACTAGCTCAACGCTTGGCAACGTTGGATTATATTTCCCCCGTTCCGTTTCGTGTCGTCTGCTATTGTTTGATTTATTTTCGTTAAATAATAATAATAATAATTTATTATTTTAAAAATCTTAATTTTTTATAAGCAAATTCAAATTATTATTCATTATTATGAATCTTTGAAGAATATACTATTATATGTATATACTACTTATATTACTTTCAAATTTCGCGCTTTTTCTATACCTAACCTACAAGACGCAACGTTGCCAAGCGTTGTGCTAAGTAATTTCTGATTGTCAAAATACGGTGTTTTTTTAGACAAAATAATTAATTGTGAGTCTCCTAAGCCAGGTCTGATCAATTTTATTAAAAGTAAGTGAACATTGGCTATTAAACTTTATGTATATAAAGTTCCAGTAATATCTTTTCGTCAGATTTTTCACAATTTGAGATTTCAGACCAAAAAATTCAATTTCCCATAAGAACCCGTGTTAAATGTGAAAAGAGAAAATTATTTATATCTTTTGTCAAAATCCACCTAGACCTCTAAAAATTTAACTACATCTTCTTTAAACCATTATCTATCAGTTTATCAAGTTTGATAATTAACTCTTCGTCATTTCTGTTTGCGAGAGAACTTCCTTAAATAGAATTTAATTCAAGAAGCTGAAGTACACAACGTTTACCAAGAAATTTTTTTTAAAAGTTGTATATTAAGCTTAAATTACATATTAAAGCATTCTTCAAATAACTATTTCGCCTATGTTAAATATATATAATTTAGACGTAATATTTAACTTTTTTAAAAAAATGTCTTTATTGATAAATGTTGCGTACTTCAGCTTCGTCTCAATTCTATTAAATATTAATTATGTAAAAATATAATTTTCATTATTATTATTAACAATGTAATAATATTATAATAAATTAAAAATATTATTGATAATATTAATTTTAATTTCTTTATAATAAACAATCATATCCCTAATTTCGCGCGTTTAATTTTGCTAGTTTAATTTATAAATTAATAAATAAATTAAATTCACATTTTGTTAAAAATATATTAATAAATTATAATTACATTAATTAAATTTTTTACAAAATTAAATAGTCTAATATTATGCACAACATTCGTTATTATTATTTCCTGTTTTTTGCCAAGCAAAAATAAAATAGCCAACACTCATTCCAATAATGACAGCTATGCATAAATAAACATTGTACGTCATAAAAATGAACATCAAAAAGTAACCTAAAATTGCTTGAATTGCGTGTAATATTGTTTGAACAGCGTGAACAATGGATAATAAGCTTTCCCTGCAAAATTAAAAGAAAATAATTTTTTTTTTAGAAATTCTATATTAATTAGGTTAATAAATATTTATCTTCCTTCTTCCCCCCCTTTCTATTAATTAGTGTCGAACAGCTTTATTTGTTTCACTGGTAACTGTCTTATTATTATTATTTTTTTTTAAATATAAATAAATTATTTTCAATAATTTTAATGAAATTTTTCACAAAAATTCAATTATCTTAAACTACTTTTCAATTACAAATTTTATGAAATTCAATAATTGTTTAAAATTAAAAAAAAATCATCAAATTAAATTAACAAAAATTTCAATTTAAAATCACTTGAAATTCAATTATTTTCAAAAATTTTAATTTAAAACCTTCGAAAATTGAATAATTTCCAAAATTTTCCATCTAAATCTTTCTGAAATTTAATAAATTCAACTGTAACTCTTTCAAAATTCAATTATTTTTCATTTTTAAGAACATCAACAATTGTTTAAAATTAAAAAAAAAATCAGCAAATAAAATTAATGAAATTCAATTATTTTTTATGAATTTTATAATAATTCTTCAAAAATTCAATTATCTAAAAGCATTTTTCAATTATAAACTGTTAAAGTTCTATTTTTCTCTGTAATTTTTAATAATTTCTTCAATAACAGAAATAACAAAAAAAATCCAATTAACAATCACTTGAAGTTAAATTATTTTCAAAAATCTGATTGGTAAATTTTAGAAAATTCAATTACTTTTCAAAAATGTTATCTAAAATTATTTAATAAATTATATTCAATTTTGTAAAATTTAATTATTGTCTTTAACAAAATCTAATTCAATTATTTCGAAAAATATTAACTGTAACTCTTTCAAAATTCAATTATTTTTAATATTATTTTTAATAATTTTAATATTTCTTTAAAAATTCAATTATTTAAAAATGTTTCAGATCAAAATTCTAAAATTGAATTATTGTCAGAAATTAAAATAGAAACTACAGCAGTTTGAATTTACAAAAAATGAATTTCAATTGTAAAATGTTCTACAATTCAATTATTTTTAAAAAATTAATTTAAAAATTTGTAAAACTTAATTATTGTGTCCTAAATTTTGTTAACCATTAAAACTAAAAACTATACAAAAATTTTTAATTCGATCTACAAAAAATTTGAAAATGGAAGTTTAAGAATTTTTTGTTAGAAATTTCTCTTAGTTCGATTCTGAAATATTCGAAATAAATTTTCTTCACCCATAAATATTTTAATAATAATAATATTAATAATAATTTATTAATGAAATATATTATAAACAAAATTAAAAAAATTAAATAAATTAAATTTTTAACCTAATTTTTCTCCAGTAAATACAGATCATTGAAAATTAATTAAATATTTACTTTTTAGATGAAACTTTATGTTGACAATTGTTTGAAGTCATTTTATAAAGATAGTCACTGAAACATAAAAATTTTGAATTAATAATTTGAAAATGTTACAATGTATATATATATCATTTGATTAAAAAATGTATAATTCTAATCAATATACCGATAACTTTTCAGTGCTTCATAAACTGTGCCCAGAAGAATGACACCAATTGAGGAACCTAAAATTTCCTGCCAGTTTGTCGTTTGCCATTTTTCAAATAAAATTGTCTCAGTCACGCCAAAATGAAACGACATCTTTAAACGTAAGTAGAAAAGAAAAATAATTAACTATAATATCATGCAATTTTAACATTTTAAATTAAGCAATTCATTTTCTTACTATTTTTTAGTTTACTTAAAAGTACCTATTGTTTATTTTATATTTAATAATTTATAATTTGAAATTTAACCAATAAATAATTGATATATTATGATTTATTATAAAATGGTAATAATTATTAATTAATAATTTATAAGATGATGTTAGTTATGGATAAATGAAAATCGATTATTATTTATAAATAATTTATTTATTTATTTCTATGATTTAAGGGTTTAAAGTTCTTTGATACAAAGTACTTAACAATAATTTTAGATATTAAAAAACTAAAACTAAACAATAAATGTTGAAATCAAAAATGTAAATAATATGTTTCAAAATGCCACTTAAATTAAACTTCATTGTTATTATTAGCATCAGAAATTATTAATTACATTATTGATAACATATAATAATTTATGAAATTATTTACTAATTAATAATAATAATAATAATTTCGATAATTTTTTTTCATCCATTTCTGGATTTTTACCGCTTAGAAAAATATTCTGTTTCAACAATAAAACACATTTTTTTTCCTATTTGTATACAAATGAAAATTTTTGGTTGTTCGAACCAAATATTAGTCACCGTAACCAAATTTTTGTTGTATTAATTAAAATTTTTTAAATCTTCAAATTTTAATTATTATTAGTTATTAAATTAATTAATTAATTAATAATAATTAATTATTATTTCTATTGTCATTATATTTGAGATATGCATAGGAAATTTTTTATAAAAATTAAAATAATTGTTTTTGAAAAAAAAAATGAAAAAAAACCTAGAAATATCACGACTTGTTATTGGATTTTTTTTTTCATATTACTATTTAAAATTTTTTTTTTAAATTCTATATAAAAGAGGACTTTTTTCTAGGCCATGATGAACATATAGTATATATAGATACATTTATGTATATCTCCATGAGAAGGAATTTATAATGAATTCTCCGATGTAGGTGTTGCGATCAATTGTTTGCTTTGTGAATAAATGGATGCAATTTTCAACTCACAATTGTCATGCACATGAAAATTTATGCAAAAGAGAAAGAAAAAGGGGAAAAAAATACAATCGCACATTTTTTTTTCAATATTTGATCTAAAATTTTACGCTTTAAAAAATGAAATTCCTTTCTTACGGAGAATCCATAATTTGTTTCGATTTTCAGATTGGTTTCTCACAATATATATATATATAGATATATAGATATAAAAAAACTCGAAGCATGCAAACAATTTCTCTTCAAGTAATAAGTATACATGGAACTAGAACTCGTATAGTAAATATAGATCAACAATCGTTAGTCTACTTTTGAAAATGAAAATGAAGTGAAAAAAGAATTTTTTTTTTATATTCATATATTGTCTGTTCATAATGACTTTATATTATCAAAGAAATATTTTTTTATAATAAACAAAATATTATTTAATTGAATCAAATAATTTTTAGTTTAACTAAATTAATTTTTATTTAAATCAAATAATAATTTGATTATTATTTGATAATATCAAAGAAAAGTTTTGTATATATTGTAAAATAATTTTTAATTGAATCAAATAATTTTTAGTTAAACCAAATGAATTTGGTTATTTTAATTATATGATAATTGTTAATTTAACCGAATCATCTTTATTTAAATTAATAATTTTTTGTTCAAGTAAAAAAATTTTTTCGTATCGAATAATAATTGCTAATTTAACAAAATCATTTTTATTTAAATTAAATAAATTTTAGTTCAAATAAATTTTTTATTAAATCAAAAAAATTTTTCCAATATAAAAAAAACCGTTAAAAATATTATTTAAATTGAAATTAAAAAAAAAAACAAATAATAATGCAATTCAATTTCCCTTGCGATAAAATGAATGAAATAAAATTACATTAAAATGTAAATATTTAAAAACAAGTATAAGGAAATATTTTTCAAATTCTAAAAAATTATTTTAATATTTTTACTCACTGAATGCATTGTAAATTTTTTTTTTTAAATTTTCGTTTACTTTATTTGTATATGTATCACTTAAGAAGTCAACATTACGATTGTAGGAAAATTCAAACTTAAATTCAAGTATAGATATAATTACGTTATCATAAATATATCTTGATAACATATCATAGATATTATTAGAAAATTCTGTCATTATACTTTTATTGTAAACAAATTAAAAAAATATTTTTTCATATATATATATATATACATATATATTATTATTATTTCCAAACAAATTTAATTTTTTGGAAATAAAATATTGCAATTTTTAAAATAATAAAACATGTTTTTTTTCACAGGAATTTTTATATGTTATTATTAAATTTTTATTGTTATAAAAGTGTATTTCGGGAGTTTTCGAGTATTTTAAAACCGCGATCGTTTATAATAAATATATGTAAAAAAAAATTTTTTTTAGTTAAATTAAAACACGGGTTAGAGAGTTTCCGGAATTTTTAAAATCGCGCGTGTTTCTGTCAGTTTACAATGGATATCACGTAGTTTGAGGAAATCATCATTAAAAATGGAAACAATTATTCTAAGGTATGGAAATAATAATCGTTATAATAATAATTATTGTATTTTTTTTATTTTTACTCTTTTTCTATATTAAAATGTCAAACAATTTTTTTATTGCACAAATTTTGCCGAATTTTAGAAAGATTACTTGAGTTTTCTTACTGTTATTTTTTACCGTAATTTTATTTAAATGTTATACACAGAGCCAGATAGCACGTAAGCTTGTAGCAACCTTACAACCAGCTTACCGCGCAATATTGCTAACATTGCACGGCAAACTTGACGCAAGCTTACTGCAAGCTTCAAGTGTTCCATCTGACCCAAGCTAGCATGGTAACCTTACCGAAAGATTGTAGTGTAAGATTACAGCAAGATTGCACAATAAGATTATCGCAAGATTGCTCAGTAAGCTTGCACGGTAAGCCAAATAACTTTGCTTTCAACTTAAAAATTTTTTTTTAAAATGTTTCGTCCAATTATTTTTAATACTTAAACGCAAAATATTGCTTCAAACCGAGAACAGCGCCATACTGAATGCTACTCTCTATCATATTTTACAAATTTCAACCAAAAACTCTTTACCATATTATAGAAAACTTGGTAATACGAAACCATGTTTTTTGCATGGGGGTCACGTGGGTATTTCCCACATAGCCTTAAGCATCGTTTTAATATGAATTTTTAAGATATTTTCCTGGCAAAAGCAAGCTGCATTAGATGGGCAATTTAAGGCGGCGTTCACTTTGTTATGCACAGTTGCAAATACTTGACACACAAGTAGAGTAACGGGCACAGTGGCTAACACTTTGACAGTAAACGACACCCACTATTACAAAAATAATAATAATTGAGCCGCCGGAAAGTAAAAGGGCGTACAAAATTTGTACAGCCGGCCAACTCAAACGGCCGTACAAACTTTATGCGCCCTTTTACTTTCCGGCGGCTCAATTATGGAATTAACATTATTAAAATATATATTTTAAGAAAATAATAAACTAAAATACAATAATTGGAAGTTACTGAAGTAGCAAGAATGTTATATTTGTTTATTGATAATGTTTAAAAATTATTAGGTACTGCTAAAAAATATTTCAAGAATTATTAATTATAAAACAGGTGTTGTTCACTGTTTTTAAACAAGAATTTTTAAATTAAAAACAAATATAGTTTCAATAACATATACAATTTATAATTCTAAGTATAGAATTTTAAATTTGAACACCTAATTTTTTTCTTATACACAGTAGAACCTATCGTGGCCGAACTATATTCAATTTTTTTTTTTCTTAGGCAGACTATTTTATTGCAATTTCTTGCACAAAATACACCTAAAAGTGTAGAAAAAAATTGACAGCCCGATCCGAGTAGAGGAAGACCATTTTTATGACCAAAAACGCATCAAAAACATAAAAAACTTACCAAAAAAATTCAATTTTTCTTAGGCAGACGATTTTATTGCATATTCTTGCACAAAATACACCGAAAAGTGTAGAAAAAAATTGACACCCAGATCCGAGTAGAGGAAGACCATTTTTATGACCAAAAACGCATCAAAAACATAAAAAACTTACCAAAAAAATTCAATTTTTCTTAGGCAGACGATTTTATTGCATATTCTTGCACAAAATACACCGAAAAGTGTAGAAAAAAATTGACACCCAGATCCGAGTAGAGGAAGACCATTTTTATGACCAAAAACGCATCAAAAACATAAAAAACTTACCAAAAAAATTCAATTTTTCTTAGGCAGACGATTTTATTGCATATTCTTGCACAAAATACACCGAAAAGTGTAGAAAAAAATTGACACCCAGATCCGAGTAGAGGAAGACCATTTTTATGACCAAAACGCATCAAAAACATAAAAAACTTACCAAAAGAATTCAATTTTTCTTAGGCAGACGATTTTATTGCATATTCTTGCACAAAATACACCGAAAAGTGTAGAAAAAAATTGACACCCAGATCCGAGTAGAGGAAGACCATTTTTATGACCAAAAACGCATCAAAAACATAAAAAACTTACCAAAAAAATTCAATTTTTCTTAGGCAGACGATTTTATTGCATATTCTTGCACAAAATACACCGAAAAGTGTAGAAAAAAATTGACACCCAGATCCGAGTAGAGGAAGACCATTTTTATGACCAAAAACGCATCAAAAACATAAAAAACTTACCAAAAGAATTCAATTTTTCTTAGGCAGACGATTTTATTGCATATTCTTGCACAAAATACACCGAAAAGTGTAGAAAAAAATTGACACCCAGATCCGAGTAGAGGAAGACCATTTTTATGACCAAAAACGCATCAAAAACATAAAAAACTTACCAAAAAAATTCAATTTTTCTTAGGCAGACGATTTTATTGCATATTCTTGCACAAAATACACCGAAAAGTGTAGAAAAAAATTGACACCCAGATCCGAGTAGAGGAAGACCATTTTTATGACCAAAACGCATCAAAAACATAAAAAACTTACCAAAAGAATTCAATTTTTCTTAGGCAGACGATTTTATTGCATATTCTTGCACAAAATACACCGAAAAGTGTAGAAAAAAATTGACACCCAGATCCGAGTAAAGGAAGACCATTTTTATGACAAAAAACGCATCAAAAACATAAAAAACTTACCAAAAGAATTCAATTTTTCTTAGGCAGACGATTTTATTGCATATTCTTGCACAAAATACACCGAAAAGTGTAGAAAAAAATTGACACCCAGATCCGAGTAGAGGAAGACCATTTTTATGACCAAAAACGCATCAAAAACATAAAAAACTTACCAAAAGAATTCAATTTTTCTTAGGCAGACGATTTTATTGCATATTCTTGCACAAAATACACCGAAAAGTGTAGAAAAAAATTGACACCCAGATCCGAGTAGAGGAAGACCATTTTTATGACCAAAAACGCATCAAAAACATAAAAAACTTACCAAAAAAATTCAATTTTTCTTAGGCAGACGATTTTATTGCATATTCTTGCACAAAATACACCGAAAAGTGTAGAAAAAAATTGACACCCAGATCCGAGTAGAGGAAGACCATTTTTATGACCAAAAACGCATCAAAAACATAAAAAACTTACCAAAAAAATTCAATTTTTCTTAGGCAGACGATTTTATTGCATATTCTTGCACAAAATACACCGAAAAGTGTAGAAAAAAATTGACACCCAGATCCGAGTAGAGGAAGACCATTTTTATGACCAAAAACGCATCAAAAACATAAAAAACTTACCAAAAAAATTCAATTTTTCTTAGGCAGACGATTTTATTGCATATTCTTGCACAAAATACACCGAAAAGTGTAGAAAAAAATTGACACCCAGATCCGAGTAGAGGAAGACCATTTTTATGACCAAAAACGCATCAAAAACATAAAAAACTTACCAAAAAAATTCAATTTTTCTTAGGCAGACGATTTTATTGCATATTCTTGCACAAAATACACCGAAAAGTGTAGAAAAAAATTGACACCCAGATCCGAGTAGAGGAAGACCATTTTTATGACCAAAAACGCATCAAAAACATAAAAAACTTACCAAAAAAATTCAATTTTTCTTAGGCAGACGATTTTATTGCATATTCTTGCACAAAATACACCGAAAAGTGTAGAAAAAAATTGACACCCAGATCCGAGTAGAGGAAGACCATTTTTATGACCAAAAACGCATCAAAAACATAAAAAACTTACCAAAAAAATTCAATTTTTCTTAGGCAGACGATTTTATTGCATATTCTTGCACAAAATACACCGAAAAGTGTAGAAAAAAATTGACACCCAGATCCGAGTAGAGGAAGACCATTTTTATGACCAAAAACGCATCAAAAACATAAAAAACTTACCAAAAAAATTCAATTTTTCTTAGGCAGACGATTTTATTGCATATTCTTGCACAAAATACACCGAAAAGTGTAGAAAAAAATTGACACCCAGATCCGAGTAGAGGAAGACCATTTTTATGACCAAAAACGCATCAAAAACATAAAAAACTTACCAAAAAAATTCAATTTTTCTTAGGCAGACGATTTTATTGCATATTCTTGCACAAAATACACCGAAAAGTGTAGAAAAAAATTGACACCCAGATCCGAGTAGAGGAAGACCATTTTTATGACCAAAAACGCATCAAAAACATAAAAAACTTACCAAAAAAATTCAATTTTTCTTAGGCAGACGATTTTATTGCATATTCTTGCACAAAATACACCGAAAAGTGTAGAAAAAAATTGACACCCAGATCCGAGTAGAGGAAGACCATTTTTATGACCAAAAACGCATCAAAAACATAAAAAACTTACCAAAAAAATTCAATTTTTCTTAGGCAGACGATTTTATTGCATATTCTTGCACAAAATACACCGAAAAGTGTAGAAAAAAATTGACACCCAGATCCGAGTAGAGGAAGACCATTTTTATGACCAAAAACGCATCAAAAACATAAAAAACTTACCAAAAAAATTCAATTTTTCTTAGGCAGACGATTTTATTGCATATTCTTGCACAAAATACACCGAAAAGTGTAGAAAAAAATTGAC